GTTACTACCTCACAATACTATTATAAATAAATGTGAAATTTAATTTGCATTACTTTTATATTTTTATATATAATGAGCAGATGTAAAATATTTCTCATTCGTGTGCGTAATATATTGGTTTTTGTATTTATACTGATTTTACACATATCAAATGCAAGAGAGACAAAGATAGAATGATACTCTCTCCTTGTCAAGCTGTCAGTATGTTACCACGAAAATTTCCCCATGAGTATAGATCTAGTGAGATTTGTTCATCCCAAATATTACATAAAAAGAAGTTACGTAGCTTCGTGAAATATTTTTTAATATATTCTTTATATAATAAAGCAGGGAGACAAAGAGTCAAATTTTGCATTATTGCTCTTAAAAATTTATAATAAATTAAATACGATCTCGTGGCTAACCCAACCTTACCCGCTGCTAGCTGCGCATCTCCCCAAGTTATATTATGAATTTTATATCAGAGAGAAGGATGAGAGTGGTCATCCCCTCGATTTAGCTGCAACCGGAATTCAAAGCGCCTCTATGTGCACAAAACGTGCACATTGAACTACGTAGCCATGTGCACGATGCTCCCGAGTGGTAACAGGCTATGTGCACGGTACGTGGTTCGATTCCGTGCTATGTGCACAGATGAGCGCCAGTAACACGTAGCTGTTAAAGGAGATGAGTTCGAGACCTCGCAGGGCCAATTTTTTTTTTTTTTTTTTTTAGTACGACTATATTTGTCAATTTAATGAAATCCTTTTAATTATTGTGGAATAAAGAGATAAAATGCATTTCTCAAGCGTACGCGAGAAAATCGAAATCAAAAATAATGAGTGCCGTATAAATACGTATGGAATAGAGCGTTATATCGAAGAGCGTGTGGCGTAGCGTTAAGGGGCTAGACACGTACCGTCGAGATTAGAGGTTCGATTCTCAAGGAGTGACTTTTTTTTTAATATTTTTTTATTTTAAATAAAATTTTTTTTTACCATAAAATGTAATTTTTACACAAAATAAATGTAAATAACACGATTTATTTACTTATAACACGTATATTACAAAAATGCATTTTTCTTTGCCTCAAAAAGCCGTGAAAAGCCGTCTGTAGAATAGCTGTATGCGATAGGAACTTGTATGATTATCTGTTTAATTAAAAATTATCCGATTTATGTCGTGTTTGGTGTCGTTGAAATCGCAAAAATCTCAATAATCCATTAATATTATTTTTGAATAGATAAAATGCAAAATAAAGGTTTTAGTTTTTCACTTATAAGATGTTTATATTTGTGAATTGCCATGGATGGGGAAGCCTATTGTTCGAGAGTTCGGAACTTTCTTTGATGATAGGTCCTCTCGCTCGCTCTATACTCGCAGTCTCGCTTTCTCTCTCGCACACGACGAGTTGTGAGATGAGCTCGAAAAGATAAGCGGGCCCGAGCGCCCGAGTATCGAGATCAAAGAACGTTCCGAACTCTCGAACAATAGGCTTCCCCATCCATGGCAATTCACAAATATAAACATCTTATAAGTGAAAAACTAAAACCTTTATTTTGCATTTTATCTATTCGAAAATAATATTAATGGATTATTGAGATTTTTGCGATTTCAACGACACCAAACACGACATAAATCGGATAATTTTTAATTAAACAGATAATCATACAAGTTCCTATCGCATACAGCTATTCTACAGACGGCTTTTCACGGCTTTTTGAGGCAAAGAAAAATGCATTTTTGTAATATACGTGTTATAAGTAAATAAATCGTGTTATTTACATTTATTTTGTGTAAAAATTACATTTTATGGAAAAAAAAATTTTATTTAAAATAAAAAAATATTAAAAAAAAAGTCACTCCTTGAGAATCGAACCTCTAACCTCGACGGTACGTGTCTAGCCCCTTAACGCTACGCCACACGCTCTTCGATATAACGCTCTATTCCATACGTATTTATACGGCACTCATTATTTTTGATTTCGATTTTCTCGCGTACGCTTGAGAAATGCATTTTATCTCTTTATTCCACAATAATTAAAAGGATTTCATTAAATTGACAAATATAGTCGTACTAAAAAAAAAAAAAAAAAAAATTGGCCCTGCGAGGTCTCGAACTCATCTCCTTTAACAGCTACGTGTTACTGGCGCTCATCTGTGCACATAGCACGGAATCGAACCACGTACCGTGCACATAGCCTGTTACCACTCGGGAGCATCGTGCACATGGCTACGTAGTTCAATGTGCACGTTTTGTGCACATAGAGGCGCTTTGAATTCCGGTTGCAGCTAAATCGAGGGGATGACCACTCTCATCCTTCTCTCTGTTTATATTTATCTTTTTTCCAAAAAATCGATCTTTGTCTCCCTGCGGACAATCCTACTGATTAAGAATATCGTAAATTTAATAAGATTCATTAAGTATTTTGGCTAATATATGGGATGAACGAATCCGTAATTCCCGGTCGGCCGATAGGCGTCTCCACCATGTCGCCTGTCGACCCTTAAGGGTGCGATTACATGGACGCGCGGAAACGCGGAAGAGAAAGTAACTAAACTTTACTAGAGTCCCGCATTTCCGCGCGTTCCGTTCCGTCTGTTTTGATTGCCTTATATTACATGGAGCACATTTTGAGCGGAAAAGCGGAACGGGGAATTATAAAATATTAATATTTAACTATATTTATTGATTAAAATGCTTGTATTCAATAGATAAGTTGAAAAGATGAACATATTAAAAGGAATTACAATGAATTAAGTAAATATAAATTTAAAAAATTAATACAAATGTCTATTTGTCACTATACCGTTCCGCTTTTCCGCTCAAAATGTGCTCCATGTCACAGATTAATAGACAGATCGCCAAAGGTCTGGATGAAGGAGAGACCAGCATTTCTCACTGATTTCAGCGCCATATCGTAGTAGTGGTAAATGCAGTAACTATTAATACGTTCCCAAGATAAGAGCGTCTCATGCTCATGAACTCGTCCGGCGGCATGTACGAAATTTATCTTTTCGTAGCGTTCGCGTATTTCGGAAAGGACAGAATTTTATGACGTTATAAATAAATAAAATATTAACCTGACCTATTATAATTATTTTTTAATAAATGTTTCATTATTATTATCATCTAAGTCTAAGTCGTTTAATTAATTTTTAGTTTTTTAATAATTAATTTAATTTATTCTAATCATTTTAATATGTGAAAAATACTAATACGTATACGTTTTATAATGAATTAATATATTTCGAGAGTCGAATTATATATTTTTAATAATATAAAAGTGTTCAAAAATTATATTTGACTTTTAATATATGTGATATAATAAAAGGCCAACTTAACGAGCTTATATGCTATTAATTGAAAAATTTTTTATTAATTTACGTCATAATATACAAAAGTTAAGATAAACGTTTCGACTGTACGACAGTCTTTTTCAATATCATTGATATTGAAAAAGACTGTCGTACAGTCGAAACGTTTATCTTAACTTTTGTATATTATGACGTAAATTAATAAAAAATTTTTCAATTAATAGCATATAAGCTCGTTAAGTTGGCCTTTTATTATATCACATATTTTAATTGTATACGAGCCGAAGTTTAATTTATAAAATATATATATTTGACTTTTAATTTTAATTATTTTAGCAAAGAGTTCCGAAATCTCTTACACACATAATAGGGATTTTGTTCATCCATATAATTCGCAATTAAGTATATATGTTAATTATTAATTTTAATAAAATACAAAATTAAAATTAAAGGTCAAATATAATTTTTGAACATAAATATATTTAATTCGTTATAAAACGTATACCCGTGATAGTATTTTTCTCGTACAAAAATAACTAGAATAAATTAAATTACTCATAATAAAATAAAAAAATAATTAAATAATTTATATTATATATGATAATAATAAAACATTTTATAAAAAAAACAGATTCAATAAATATAAGTATATATATAACATGTACCTCTATTTATTGAATCTATTTTTTAATAAAATGTTTTATAAGCTTAGAAAACTTGACTTTGACGTAACTAGCAAATTTTATTTAATTATTTCACGACGGTTTGACGTAATAAAATGTTTTATTATTATTATATAAAATATAAGTTTAAATTCTTTAATTAATTTTTAATCTTTTATGATTAATTTAATTTACTCTAATTATTTTTGTACGAGAAAAATACTATCATGGGTATACGTTTTATAATTAATTTAATATATTTGTGTTTAAAAATTATATTTGACCTTTAATTTTAATTTTTATTTTATTAAAATTAATAATTAACATATATACTTAATTGCGAATTATATGGATGAAAAAAATCCCCATTATGTGTGTAAGAGATTTCGGAACTCTTTGCTAAAATAATTAAAATTAAAAGTCAAATATAATTTTTGAACACTTTTATATTATTAAAAATATATAATTCGACTCTCGAAATATATTAATTCATTATAAAACGTATACGTATTAGTATTTTTCACATATTAAAATGATTAGAATAAATTAAATTAATTATTAAAAAACTAAAAATTAATTAAACGACTTAGACTTAGATGATAATAATAATGAAACATTTATTAAAAAATAATTATAATAGGTCAGGTTAATATTTTATTTATTTATTTATTTATAACATCATAAAATTCTGTCCTTTCCGAAATACGCGAACGCTACGAAAAGATAAATCTCGTACATGCCGCCGGACGAGTTCATGAGCATGAGACGCTCTTATCTTGGGAACGTATTAATAGTTACTGCATTGACCACTACTACGATATGGCACTGAAATCAGTGAGAAATGCTGGTCTCTCCTTCATCCAGACCTTTGGCGATCTGTCTATTAATCTGTGTCCATGTAATATAAGGCAATCAAAACAGACGGAACGGAACGCGCGGAAATGCGGGACTCTAGTAAAGTTTAGTTACTTTTTCTTCCGCGTTTCCGCGTTTCCGCGCGTCCATGTAATCGCACCCTTAGGCAGAACAGCGCGAAAAGGATGACAACTTTGAATCGCAATTTTTAAAATTCCCTGAGGATATTTTGCTTTTACCGCGTCTATCTTTGCACACTTCGCACACGTGTAATAAATATATGTACAGTCATTTTTCAACATGTTTACTGATTTACTGTCGTTTGCGTGATGACTCGAGCTCATTATATTTAATTTGGCGTTATTTCGATAAGTTTAACGAAAAAAGTGGAGCATGATATTGTATCCTATTTGTGGAGGAAAATACGATAAATAAAGAAGAAAAGAAACGGAGCAAGGCAAAAAGAGTGACATTTTATGCGGATTTTCATAACTTTGATAGTGCTCATAATTTTTTTATATTTTTAAAAAATTTAAATAAAAATGCCGAATGTTTCACATTTGCGTAAATGGGCTCTAGGATTAGGTGCGATAAGCGGCACAGTATTATATTATTACAATGCACACGTTAATAAGAAGTCCTGTCAAGTGCACAATTCTTGGACGACGAATTATATACCTTCAGTGAAATGGGATCACAATTGGGACAGGTGATTTATTTTCTTGTTACATTTACTGTACTATTAAGCTTTTGAGTTAAGGAATAACTTGAAAGCAAACTCCTTTGCTAAGTTTTATATTTGTACTTATATTTGCAGGAGGGATCCAAAGAGCCTGGTGAAGCCAATGCCAATAAATAATGAGAACGATGAGAATAAATGTAATGAAAAGATTGAGGCAAAGAAAGCAAAGGTTGTGCGACATATATTTTTGATTCGACATGGGCAATATCAGACAGATGGAAAGACAGATGCTGAAAGAGTGCTTACTGAACTTGGTACGCTGTAACTGTTATATGATCGATAAAAGTTTGAATAATACGTTAAAATAGCATAAAGGTCAATTTAAAAGTGTGATTTTTTAAATTTTTGATTCACAAAATTACACAGCATTAGGCTATTGTCATTCTTCTATTTTTAATACATTATGAAATCTTTCTTTTAATAATATAAAGCATGTAAAATGTTTCTTTTAACTTTTAATGCTGCTTATTTAATTATATTTACTTGCTGATAAAGCTTTATTATTTTTATAGATCCCAGCTTAGGCAGGGATTTACAATAATATTTTGTGCAAATTCTATTATTATATGTCCTTTACAAAAATAAAGGACATATAATAATAGAATTTGTACAAAATATTATGTTGTTTATGTTTCTGTATTACTAAGATAACATGCTTTCTATTTAGATATTTATATCTTCCATGATGTCATATTAGAAGATGGCTAATAAGTTATTTTGTAAAAAGTATGTAATGACTTGCAGTACTGCATGTTTTATTCCATCATTGCGTAATTAAAACCCCATTGCATAATTAAATTATTTTACATATTAAAACTAACATTAAATGAAAAGATTTAATACTAGTATTTTCAATGCTATTTTCCCAAGAGATTAGCAACACAAATAATTGTATTTGAGCTTTCTATATAAATTTTTACTATTTTTTCTTAATTTTACACTTATCACATACACATCAATATAAATATGTATATAAATATATCATATATGTACATTGAATTCTATTCTAACTGAAATAAATTTAACTATTATTTTGAGATTATATAACCAATTTCAGTTAAGGTAAAATTCAGTGAAAAGATATATATATATCATGATAAAATTACAATTAAAAATATGGTTATTATAAAGGCAGGAAGCAAGCTGAAGTAACGGGAAAAAGATTAGCAGAGTTAAATCTGCCTTACTCATTGATAGTAAGATCTACGATGACACGTGCTTTGGAGACTTCTAAAATTATAGAAAAGAGTCTTGTAAATGTGCCAGTTGAAGATGATAATATGTTAATCGAAGGTGCGCCTATACCTCCAGAGCCACCTATTGGTCATTGGAAATCTGAAAAACATGTAAGCAAGATACAATTAATTATTTGCATTATTGAATATAATTAAGAGATGTTAAAATAAAATCCTGTATGAGACACTATGTTCCAGTTCTTCCAGGATGGTGCTAGAATAGAAGCTGCATTTAGAAAGTATTTCCATCGTGCAGATCCTAGTCAAGAGTATGATTCATATACTGTTCTTGTATGCCATGCAAATGTCATCCGATATTTCGTTTGTCGGTAAGATTTTCTCCTTTACTCAGATTCCATAATATTTTTTCATACATAATATCTCAATATATACTCTTTTTTAAAGAGCATTGCAGTTTCCACCAGAAGCATGGCTAAGAATAGGCTTAAAACATGGAAGCATTACTTGGCTTTGCATCCTTCCCAGTGGTCGAGTCACACTCTATTCTCTGGGTGATACAGGACATATGTTACCACAAAATATAACGTCTAGCTAAAGGTCTAGCACGATTCATATCATATATAATTCATAACAATAATAAATATCAAGGTTAATTAATAAACATATGTATATACATATATTAAGATTATATTTTACAATACATAAAAGTTTGCATGTACGATTTTTATACCACAGAGATCACTCGTTTTTTGAGTCTATGATGTTAAAAAATTCTTTTGCTGCTATCATATTGAATTATGATGCTAGAAGCAAATTCAATCATATAAATTTATTTTTTACAAAATAAATCATATGAATTTATTTTCTTACAAAATAAACCAAATAAATTTTTCTTGCAAATTAAATCATGAGTTTATTTTCTTGCAAGATAAATTATTTGTTCATATGTCAGCACGAAAGTTCTGTTCTAATTCTTTATTCTTAATTCAATATAGTTGCAGTGAAAAAACTAAAAGCCTTAAAGATATTGTACAGATGCGAATTTTGAATATTGATTTTTATTGTAAAAATAATATTTTAGGATAATACTCGTACACGAAATTGTATAAATATAAATGATGAGATATTATAGAATTTCTAACTATAAAACAAAAAAATTAATAATATAGAGACTAAAGGTCTTAAGTACACAGCACACTTGATAAGAACCGAAACCTATGGTCAAAACGTTGTAAAGAATAAAGTTTTAAATTTGCAAGAATTGGTTGATTAAACTACTTTCATTTTTAATTATCATCTGGTGACCTTGCAGTTTTGATATTGGTAATTTTATATATATATTTGACTAAACACCCAGAAAAGTTAATCATAAATCTAATATACAAATTACAAACTATTGTTTGAGCATTTAAATTGTATATGTATATACATATTTCTAAATACATTTCAATTTTTTAATACTATAATTTTCAATTTCAATGCTATGCTTTTTATTGTACACATTTTTACAATCTAAAATTACATCACTTTATATAAGTTTGCCAGTAACATAAATTAAACAATATTCACTTATTTACATTTTGATCGATATAAAAAGGAAACAAATTATTGTTATTATAATGATTAAAATAGTTATGAATTAATTACAATTTAATTCACAGCGGTCAATCTCTTTGCTTTTCTTGCATAATATCTTTGTAATGCTTCTTCAAATAATGGCCCTACTGTTCTCTTTTTCCAAATCGAGGATCTATCTTTCTTTTCAACAGGCTTCTTCTCACTTTCGACTTTATCCTCTGAATCAATATTCTTGCTGTCTTCAGGTTTTTGCAGATCTTTCACACTTGAATCTTTATCCTTAACATCTATATTTTCAACTGTATTTATATTATTTTTATCTAGTTTTTGTTTCTTTTCTTCTGGTTCCTGTACCTCTGATTTATCAGTATCTTTGCTCATTGATGAAACAATATTCTCATCTTGTTTCAACTCCTCTTTACTCGTTTCAGTTTCAGAATCGGATTCATATGTTTCTATTGCTCTTTGTCTATATTGTCTTGGTTTTTTAGACTTTATAATTGCTCTTGGTATTTCATCTTTAGTTGCACTTGCCATCTTGTTCTCTGTTGTATTTTCTTTTCTCTCATCCATGCTACTTATCAAATTCTTCTTTTCTTTTTCAGCATTCCTCTCCTCGAGTCTATCATTTTCATCCTTATTAATTTCACTCTTGTGATCAATAGTCTGCTCATAAAGATGACGATAAAAACCTGACATATCTTGCTGCTTTGTCACATCTCCGATAGCCTCCAGTCTACTCATTCTCGCTTCCTCCTCTTCCATTTTCTTAAATTCCTCCAGCTTAGCTTTGTACGCTGATGTGACAAAGCTCTCTTTGTCTGCGTACATCTCACCTTCCGCTTCGCGTTCCTTCTGCACCATTCTCTCCACTCGATGCTCCTGTTCCTGCTTCCTCCTCTGAGCTGTTTTCAAAAGCTTCTGTATATACCTAGGCTTCTTCTCCTTCTCCTTCACTTCCGACTGACTTTTGCTTTGCTCCATAGCATCATAGACTTCGTCGTACTGATAAATTGTTGGATCCTCATTCAGAGCTCTCTGTATATCGAGTTTAGTCTGCTTCTTCATCTTATTCTTCTCGTTTTCCGCCTTGAGGGCTCTCCTGACCCAGTCGGTGCCGTCCTCCTCGTCAGAGACGTTGTCGTCTCCGAAGACATTACTGAGCTTCGGTGCGGTTTTCTGTTGCTGCTTCTTCGGCAAAAGTAGACCGTATCTAAGTATCGAAAAAAAAAAATTAATTAATTGTCGTACAGAGATTTTTATTATTTTATTATTTACTTACTGTTTATTAGCAGCCATCGCGCTTGATTGTTTACTATTAAATACAGGGAAGAATCTAACCTATTCCCTCACTCCGGATTGATTTGTATTTGACATATCAATCGTAGAATTCGTGTTTACAGTCTCACGGTCTTTTTAAATTATCACGATTTTTATATATGCATAATAAACTATCGAAGAAATTTTACAACCTCCTTTCGTTCGAACAAGAGGGATTTTCATTACGCGATATCTTGCGGTTATCGCGATTTATCGCGCACGAGCCAATCAGGAACGAGAATGACACTTAGATCCAATTTGACATTTCACCCCCTCCCCTTCACTCCTTTACGTCTGTCGCGTCGCCCACTCGTTTGATGGTGCGAACGTCAGCAGTGTATATACATATACACGGGAGGATTAGAAATCCTGTGATATGAGTCTTTGACAGCCGTCGAGTTTGACAAGCTGTTGACTCCTCCGAGGGAATAGCGAGGATTTGAAGCGCGAGGTCCCTCCTGGGCAAGGAAGAAGGAAGAAATGGAAAATCAACGTTGTGCTCTACTGCTCGTCTGCGTCGCCGTGTTCCTCGCCCTGGTGAACAGTCGCCAGCTGAAAAACAGTCGCCACGAGCATCAGGATGGCGATTACGTCACCACGTCGTATACGCACTACGACGAGCTGAAGCGGCTGTTCCGCACCCTGGAGCAAACGTACCCGCATCTCGCCCGGGTGTTCTCGATCGGGAAATCCGTCGAGGGTCGCGACCTCCTGGTGCTGGAAATCTCGGAGAATGTGCGTCAGCGTAACCTCGGCGAGCCTATGGTCAAATATGTCGCCAACATGCACGGCGACGAGTCCGTGGGTCGGGAGCTGCTCATCATCCTCGGGCAGTACCTCCTGGACTGGTACGGCAAGGACGAGCGCGTCACTCGGCTGGTGAATCAGACCGACATCTACCTGATGCCGTCCATGAATCCGGATGGCTTTGAGAACTCAGTGGTAGGATTGTCATTGTAATCTTTAATTTATTTTCAACAATGATTAATGATGATAATGATGAAAACTCAGTGGTAGGATTGTCATTGTGATCTTTAATTTATTTTCAACAATGATTATTTGACTTTGGATTATATGCAAATTTCATATTTGTTATGTTTTGTACATTCTACGAAGGCATTGATAATGTGAAAAAATTATGTTTTCAACTGCTTAATTAATATTAATTAATTGAAAACAATTTGTGTTCACATTATTAATATTCCTGCAGAATATGTGAAAAGTAATAAATATGCAATTTGTATATAATCCTAAGTCTAAAGATGATAATAATGAGGATTGATGAGTGAAAAATCTTGTTGCGTTTCTCCAGGAAGGAAAATGTGAGTCCAAAGGGGACTTTTCTGGTAGGGAAAATGCTAATCGTGTTGATTTAAATCGGGACTTTCCCGATCAATTCGATAGAAGACTGAGTCAAATTAAGAAGGGAATGTCTATATTAAACGGTCGTCAGAACGAGACGGTGGCAATGATGACTTGGATTTCCAATGAACCCTTTGTACTCTCAGGAAATCTCCATGGTGGTGCTGTAGTTGCCAGTTATCCATATGATTCTGGGTGAGTTTATACTGTTAAAATAATTGTATTTTATAGTAATAATAATTGTATTTTTTATTATTAAAATATTATAGCTTACATTATTAGAAGTTCTTTATTCTGTTGTCTGATGAAATAAATGTATATAAATATATAATAAAAAAATATATATAAATATATATACATATATATCTTTTCAGTATTCTAAAGTCATGTTGCATAGAAAGTAAAAGCCCAGATGACAATTTATTCAAATATCTTGCCCACATTTATGCAGACAATCATTCAGAAATGCGTAGAGGTGATGCTTGTCCACCAGATATATTTCCAGGTGGTGTTACAAATGGAGCATATTGGTAAGCATGATCTTATTATGATTTCCAGTATTAGTCAATCTTAATTTTTGTTATTTTATTTACAAAACTATTAGAAATTTATTATTTTGGAATTTTAAAAATATGTAGTTATATATTTAATTATATGTAATTATGTGTATATATATATATAAATAATATTTATTCTACGAAATTAAATTAATTGAGTCAAATTATAACTTAAATCTGAATTTTTGATAGGTATGAAGTAATTGGTGGAATGCAAGATTATAATTACGCGCGTTCTAATGCGTTTGAGATAACATTCGAATTGAGTTGTTGCAAGTATCCACCTGGTTCAATGATACCAGATGAATGGGCACTAAATAAAGAATCGTTGATTAAATATCTAGAGCAAGCACATATGGGAATCAAAGGTAATGTTTATATATCATTTGAATATATTAGATTAATTGAAAGAAATTTTATATTATGTTTCTTTTTTTTGGATGCAGGTTTTGTACGCGATAGAGATACTGGTAATCCCATTGAAAAAGCAAACATTGTTGTGGAAGGAATAAATCATAATGTAACAACCACAGCTGATGGAGAATATTGGCGTTTACTACTCCCTGGAACTTATTCAGTTTACATCACTGCATGGGGGTATGTAAATTATAATTTTTTATATGATTAATATGTGATTTATTACGCCAAGAAAATATTTCCGGCAAATTTAATTTTATCATATCTGTTGTTTAGATATGAACCCAGTGAACCAGTAAATGTGTCCATACTAGAAGGAACACCGACAATTCTTAATTTTACATTAAGTCGCAGAGAAGTATCTGACGAACAAGGTAACAGAGACTTAGATTATCCTCAAGTATCACTCTTTAATAAATTTCTTGCACCTTATGAGATAATATATGATTATGAGATAATAGATTATGATTCGCAGATTTATAAATAATTTATATTCGAAAAATATTTATATTATCTAATTATGCTGTCGGTCTATAACTACAAATTATTTTTTCTATTTAAAATATGAACTATTACTAACGCATTAGTTATTTTTTTATTACGTTTTAACAATTGATACATTTTGTTTGTGTTATGTAATAACATTAGTGCTATTCATAATTTTATTTTAAAAACATTTCGTCGCAAAAAATTTTTATTTTTTTCTTAACATTATATACATCAAATTTTTTATTATTTCTTTTCATTTTGTTTTACAGACAATTAAAGATTCAGTTGTGACATTCAGATGTATACATCTTTGATTATTGCAACTTGGGAATCTTACTACATTGTTTAACGACATATTTTATATGATTTTTTTAAATGACATTTTATAATTTTTTTTATTTTATTTTATATTTAACTATAGAAAGACATATATATATATAGACAATTATATACACAAGGTATGGAGAAATGAAATCTTATAAACTGCACATGTGGAAAAAGGGAAATAAGGATTTTAAATCTATTTTTGTCATTGTTTGTACATAAAAAAGAATCTTTCAACTATATTCCAGTTTGACAGAAGGCATATATATTGGTTCTATTATTACTCATTGTTTATAATCTTAATATTAATTCTGCCTCATTTGCATTTATTTCTTCATAGATATGTTTATAAATAACTTCCATATTGTATAAGGTGTAAACTAATATATATATTACAATAGACAAGTAATGCTGTCTTCAAATTGGAAAGTAGTACCTCATTCCAGTGCAAACACTAATTGATCAAACATATCTTTACATGGAGATAATATGTGATTATCTCTATATCATCTTATACTATAGACTTACTTATATTTTGAATCAAACTCATTTTTTTATATATTTTTTGAGTTATATTTTCTTTAGAACTTTTTATGTACTTATTAGCATATGAACAAATTATGAATCAAAATATGCTTTTTTTAAACAAAGACTGAATAAAGATACATTTTCATCATCAATATTATTGTTAATTTAACAAATTATATTATTTATATTATTTTCCAGAAATATTAAGATTGTCAATTTATAAATTTATTGCAATATAAAAACGTGCAAAAATCTTTTCCAAATATTTTGAACAATTATTTTTTTTAATGCACAATATCTAGTTATTTAGTTTAATTTTGTTATTTGACAGAAAATTATTTAAAAAGATAGATTTTGAATGTGTAGAAAAATTATATTTAAAAGTAAGACACAGGACAATATGTGCAAATTGTTTTGTCTAGCTTATTTCTTACAAAACCACCGCAAGTACATAAAAAAATATAAGTGTACTGTATTTTGCATATATAACACTTATGTAAAATACACAGTACTGCCAATATTCAGTTTATTGTACATGGACAATTATCTATATATTAATAAATAAATGTAGATCTCTGTGAGAAACACGTTCATCGAATCGGTGGACGATATAATCTCTGTATAGCGATATATATATATATATATATATATATATATATATATATATATTCCAATATTTTCCCTACAATATATATGTATTGTTCATAGCTAGAAATAAAAAAAATTCTTTCTGTCTTGAACAATGAGTAACTCTTTCAATACACATGTATCCTTTTCCTTTGAACCTATGTACAATTTTGTATGTATTTAATTTACTTATTATAAGTCTTTTTATTTTCTCCGTACCTTGTGTTTTGTGCCATTATTTATCTTTTATTGCTTGCATTTGCTCTTTAATCTTAAATTGATGCAATTATATCCGATATCGGGATCCAAATTATCGGAATAATTACTTTTATTATTTTGTTTATTCTCACTTCTTTTGATAACATGATTCATACAATGCAGGAAAAGATACCGTTGATGAGGTAGTAAGACTCCTCGACAAGTATGGCTTTTACCATCCCACGGAGTTCAAGCACCACAAGTACGTTGCGATGGAGAGATTCTTGAAAGAGCTGAACACGAATTACCCAAATATCACGAGGCTCTACACCATAGGCAGCTCCGTGCAGGGTCGCGAGCTCTACGTTATGGAGGTCACGAAAGATCCCGGCAAGCACAGTTCCGAGAAACCCGAGGTGAAATACGTCGGGAATATGCACGGAAACGAGGTGGTTGGCCGGGAAATACTGCTGCTGCTGTTGAAATATCTTTGCGAAAATTACGGAATCGACGAGAGAGTCACGAAACTGGTGGAGTCCGTCAGACTCCACGTGTTACCCAGCATGAATCCTGATGGATACGAGATCTCAAAGGAAGGCGACGTTTTCGGAGAATATGGTAGAGCAAACGCGAATGGTGTGGATCTTAATAGAAACTTTCCCGACAACTCCGTTTACGACGTATGTTCTCTCGCCTTCATTGTATTGTATATACGTTTAATGTCTCTTATCGTCTTAATGATTTATACGAGCTTAATGATTGAAACGAGTTTTAAGAGGAGACAGAGGCACCGAAAATAGTTCTCATTGTGATATTCATGAATTTTTTTCAGAAAGTATTAGGATTATCAAAGTGGGGTTTTTACCATTCTATTATATCGGTATTTAGTAATATAAGATAAAATTTTTATTGAAAAATACTTAAAAATATAGCAGATATTGCTGCTGACGTCAGATTCTGTTATGCTTTTACGGTATTCAATGTAATCTATAGCTTCGTCTGAAACAAAAAACTCGATTGATTCTTAAAATATACTTATAAATCTAGTCTTTGTCGTAGCGAAAAAAAATCGCAATATTTATAAAATGACACTATTTATTTGAATATAAAAATGATTATTTGTTAGCTATTAAAAACTAAGGGGTTTAAAAAATCCTACGACTAGATTATATTACTAAATATACATATAATAGACTAGTAAAATTCTAAGAAAAAAATTAATGAATATAGAGTTATTTTTTGGTATCTCTGAGTGTATGTCCTCCCTTAACGGGTATCTTGGTGTACCATTTATAGATCAATCAGCAACCTGAGACTGAGGCGGTGATGCGTTGGATAGCGAGGATTCCGTTTGTACTCTCTGCCAATCTTCACGGAGGTGCGTTGGTCGCGAATTACCCTTACGACGACGGTCCGCAAAAATTCGTCGCGAATCCGAGTCCCGACGACGACGTCTTCCAGATGCTGGCGAAGACGTACTCCAACGCTCATCCGCGGATGCATCTCGGAGAACCGTGTCCGCCTTTGGTGAAAGGCAGTAAGACGTTTCTCGACGAACGTTTTCCCGAAGGAATAACGAACGGCGCCGCCTGGTATCCCGTTTCTGGTGGCATGCAGGATTACAATTACTTGCACAGCAACGCCTTTGAAATCACGCTTGAAATTGGATGCACAAAGTACCCGAACGCCAGCGACTTGCCGAATTATTGGCTAGAGAACAGAGAGCCGCTTCTGCGCTTCATCGAGATGGTACATTTTGATGTTAAAGAATTGTCAATAATCTTTGATATAATAATTCTTTCTAATCTTTTATACGCAAACAAGATAGGTGTCCTATTTAAATTATACATGAATATTTTAAAAATTATCGATATTAACAAAATGTTTCAGTTGAGTGATTTTAAGCACATAATCTGATGTCAATAGATTGTTTGCAAATAATATATATATATATATATATATATATATATGTATATATAATTTTCTTACAGTCTCACAAAGCCATACACGGTATGGTGAGTTCGTCCATCGGCACTCCTATACCCCACGCAAAGATCTCGGTGGAAGGTATAAAACATGACGTCTACACCACCGAAGGGGGTGATTATTGGCGATTGCTGGTACCAGGACGGTGGTATAACGTGACTGTCAGCGCGGTGGGATACGAAAGTATCACGCAGAACGTCAACGTACCTGATCACGGTGAAAAAGATGCAGAGACAATTTTGGATTTTACATTAATGCGCGATGATCCTCAGCATTGGTAATTATATTTATTTGAAATATATACTTTTTCGATATCTAACTTGAAAGATTGATGTGTTTTCAATAAGGTGGAAAATCGACTGGTATAGAACTTCATGAATAAATTTTAAATAAGTTTTCTTCTTCTTTCGGATCTTTGGAATCTTTCTCGAGAAGATAACTCAAACAAATTTTTGAATGGAAGATAAAAAATTCTACATATTTCTTTAAGTTGTTATATTAGCATATATGTCTTTTATCTTTATCATTTATAAAAGAAAAAAAATATCTTCAAAAAGTCGAGAGAAATGTTAAGAAAATCTTTTAAAAAATCTGTTTTTATAGAGATACTTTACTCTTACAGGTCATCCGCATACGATTTCGATTTGAGGGCAAACTTGCAGAATGGTTACTTGAAAAATTCCGACTTAAGCGCGAGATTCAGTCAATTGGAGAACCATCAGCCTAATATTGCGGAATTTATAGCCAATGACTCACCGATTAACATGGCCATTCATTCGCTGAAGATCACGCATAATGTGAGTTTGATTTCAAGCGACTGTATATTGCTTATTTAATTGCATTCGATTTAAAACTTGGCACCTTTCAGATGGGATCACCCGACGAGAATAAGTTCCGTATCGCGTTGGTGGGAGGATTGTTCGCTTCCCAGCCAACAGGTAGGGAGATCCTATTACGCTTGGCAACTCATATCCTCAAGGGAAATAAGATTGGGAATCCGCCGATCGAAAGGCTACTAGATAACGCTTTGCTGCATTTTATCCCGGGCGTCGATCCGGCATTTGATGACATAAAGGAGAGTAAAGATTGCAATCTTGTGGTCAAAAATGAAGTGGGAGACAAGTTATTATCGCAGAATAACACTAAACGAATAGATAGAATTACGAATGCGTTTGAGAAAATGTTACAGAGTGAGGATTACGATGTCGTCGTGATATTGGGAGATGGAACCTCGGAAATCAGGTAGGTAATTTAATATTTAATGTGATTATGAATAAATGTTTAAAAATTTAATCCTTTTTGTGCCCAAATTTTATCTTTCAAGTTATTTCAACGATGACCTTAACACATTTAAAACTCTCGCCGAGAATTACGAGCATTCGAGACACAAAGAAATATGCAGTTATTCGAATAACAACACGCAACGCTTGACGGATTTCATACAGCGTGTATACCATATACCTGCGGTAGGTGTAATTTATTTTTATACATATTTATTCTTTATATATTAATTACATATATATTATAATTTTGTTCATATATTATATTTTTATTTTATTTTTATATTATATTTTTTTCTCTATAGTAAATACGTATTCAAAATAAAAAATTGTCGAATTTTTAGCTATTTTGTCGCCAAGTATTTAAATATGTTATTTCTTTTACATGTGTAGATGAGCATAAGTCTGTCATGTTGCAACTACCCGCCCGCGGATTCAATCCCTATCATTTGGCGTGAGAATCTAAAACCGCTTATGGAACTCGTGCAGAATCTTGTTAGTGGAATTCGCGCAATGGTGATGGACGAACATGGTGCGCCACTTCGTGAGGCCAGCGTAAAAGTGGGGAAGAAAAGCTACGGTGTGTCGCGTAATATGGCTTATTTCAAAATGATACTAGTACCTGGTGAATATACTTTGACTGTCTTCTGCGCGGGATACGACACGCGTATGTTGAACGTTTCCGTGCAACAGCAAACTATAAATAATATCGATATCAGGATGACATTGCGGAAGAACGCGACGCATTCGAGTACTGAGAAGTTGAGCTACATAAATCAAGCCTTGAGTGATTTGAAAGCCAAACATCCGCGACAAACGACTTTGCACACCATCGGCAAGACCGCAAAAGGTAGCGAGATCAAGTGCCTCGAAATCGGTTCCGACAACGACCGGATAGGACGATCGTCCATCGTATTCTTGGCCGGGGTGCAACGAGCGGAACCAGTCACGTCCGGAGTACTCCTGCATTTTGCTTTGTACCTCCTGGATAATTATAAAAGTAACGCCACGATTGCGCGTTACATCGACGACTTTTCCATATACGTAGCTCCGGATTTCTCGCCTGATAATCTTAATCAAGCGAATCTCACCTGCTCGTCACCGCGGTCGGACGGTCCTCGACAGTTCCCGATTAACAAGAAGCTTGACGACGAAGCGGCTATGATAACGAATTGGTTCAAAGACATTAACGCTGTGTTGGCTGTGAATCTGAACAGCGGTGCGCGACGCATAGAAATTCCATTCAGTCGCGAATATGGAATGATGGACGAACGAAGATACGAAAGCGCCGACGAGAATCTGTTGCAACATTTAGCATCGGTGTACGCTGACGCGAGAGCAAACAAGCTATCCGAAAGCTCAAAATGCAAACGAGACTCGAATATCGGCGACAATAGCGTGATAAATGCGGGAATAGGAATCGGCAGAGGAGGTCATCCTCTGATGGATTATGTCTATTTCAATACGAGTACCTTGATGATAGACGTGTACGTTACCTGTTGCATTACCGATCAGTCCAGCGCTGTGTGGCAGGAAAATAAAGATAGTTTACTAGCTTCCGTCCAAGAACTGAACAAAAGCGTAAGAGGATATGTCACCAATGAAGACGACGAGCCGATCATCGACGTCGTTCTATCTTATGACAGATCGCCCCATGTGATTAGAAACGGCAAGTCGGGCTTCTATTCCATTCTATTGCCGTCCGGAAGTCACAATGTAACAGCTACGGCGCCGGGATATCACGAGGAAACCAAACTCATTTCCACGCGTTTGTCCGAAACGAGGAAGTACTCGAGATTAATGTTCAAACTCGTTCGTGACGACAACATCATGGGGATGCCAAGACTGGTATTCGTTATGATAATGGGTAAATATTAGAGTTTACGAGATATTGAACGAGCGGAAATAATTAAAGATGTGAGATGAGGGAAGACATTTGATTGATCATCAACCATAAACTTTGTGTAATATGACACAATATAATTCTATTTCAGGTATGATATGCTTCGGCGTTGTATTATGTTGCATATGTATCTGCACGAAATGCCAATCTTCGCAAGATTCTTCGGAGAAAAGCAGAAAAGGATACGCGTTCAGTTTACTAAAGGATGGCAGCAGCTTTTTCGACGATGATGAGAAGGAAATTGTGATATTCCGAAAACCAATAGACGAAAGTAATTATTTTATTACATATACTAAGATTCTAAATAATCTTATAAAGGACTCTGCACCAAGTATATAAGGTTTTAGCTTTCGATGGAATTGGCTGTTTTTTTATATGTTGTAGCTTATTACTTGCTAAACCAGCTAAACAAAAGATGTAATAGCCTTCAAAGCTAAATATTCGATAATTACTGAATTACAGCCAGTCAAACATAAAAAACTTAGACTCTACAAGTTATTTGATTGGTTGTAACCAATCCAATATTTATCTTTGAGGCTATTATATCTTTTATTCAGCGCAGGACATAAGCTATAACATAAAAAACCACCAATTCCACCAAAAGTCAAAATCCTATATATTTGGGGGTCCTTTCAATGTATACACAAAATGCTAATTTTTACTTGTCATAATTGTAGGATATTCTTCAAATGATAATGAAGTTACAAGGCCGTATTTCGACGACGACAATAGCTCCGAGGACGGCAGCGATTTAGAGTTTATTCGGCCTGAACGTGAGTGGAGCGATAAAATACCAAGTCAAACGTGATAGTAAATGTTTTTGTATGATATATATATACATAGTTTTTTATATTGCAAAATTTTAATATTATCTTTGAAATAAGAAAAATGAACCAAATGCAATTAAACGAATATAATAAGGTAGAAATAATTGTCATAATTTCTACCAAAAACAACAACTAGGGTCCAAGGGTAAAATACGTACTTATATATATTAGATATTTCTGTGCTACATTTTGAAAACAATGTATGAGAAAACATTATTGCGGTACATAAATGTTTTAAAAATGTTTATATTTTAATTTTTATAAATATGTAAAAATTCAAAAAATAGATTTAGTTTTATGAAGCAATATAAAAAATTATATAAGAGTATATATAAATATCAGAAATTTTTATATTACAACTTTAAATAAGAAATAAGAAAAATGTAGAAAAAAAATTAATTTTAATTTTTAAGAATAGATATAGAATGAAAGAAAATAAGTGTCGATATTATATATAGGAAGCTATATATAATCATATTAACACATGTTAAAATAATTTAGATATGAACGACATTCAATATTTTACTCTCGTATACACAGGATTAGCATAAATGATTCATCAGGTTTTAAAACACTTATTTAGAAGTATACATCTTTTCATGTATCACCCATCTTTGTAGGTCTTATACTTCTAAATAAAAAGTGTTTTGAAACCTGATGAATCATTTATGCTAACCTTGCATTTTAATATTGAGTATATAGAATTTACTCATGTATGATGAATTTTTTTTATTTATATCACATATCGCACAGAAGTTTCAATTTAATCATGCAATCTACAGTTGCTCAAATTTAAAACAGTAGTGTTGTGTCTTTTTCTATTTTTACTATATTTTTAGACTAATTTTATTTTTTCTTGAAATGTCTTCCTAAATGATAATTTACTAAATTACATATTTAAGCTGCATTCTGTTATTCAGTTATTGCCAGTACTTTTAAGAATCTATAATATATGTAATATATTATAGATATAATCATAATTTATATATCATTTATTTATTATGAGATATATAAATACATAAAAGTAAATAAATATATATACAAATTTTACATATTTATATCTCATAATTTATAATTATAGTCTGATATAATCATAATAATTTACAGTTGAAAAAAACTACATTAGTCATATTATCATACAAATACTACAGTTTATCAGATTGTTAAATAGTTTTATTAAATAATTCATGTAACAGCAATACGTAATATAAAATGTTACCATGATTTTATATTCTATAAACGAGAATTAATCAATGCACTTTATTGTACATAAAATTTTGTAAATTAAATTATACTTATTACATTGACGAAATTATATATATAAATTTTATTCATAAAACTAATCAAGAGTAAGCATAAAAATATGATATTACCTCTTATCTCTTCAATTCCTAAACTTATTTTTATATTTTATATAAAAAATAAGATAAAGTCGAATTCTTTTCCTCTGTTAGGATTTTACTTTATCAAGTAGGTATCAAAAAATAAAAAGAAAGCACCCGTGAAATGGTTTTATCGAAAGTACCGATTGGCTATCGGATAAAGAGAATTCTAGGAATTCTTTATCTAATAAGGCACATTGAATAAATATTTTATCGTCGAAATATGTGAACTTTTTATTATCTCGTCTTGATGAAGTAATACGTGGTATGAGAAAAAAATAATCTAAGCCAAATATTTAGTACAATGTTCTTATCATTACATCGTCTAGTTTTGCATTTTTTAAGAAAAATGGTCAGTTTAAAAGATTAGGAAAGCATATATAAAGATCGGTCTGGTTAATTATGAAAACCTGTTGTTAATCCAAGTATATCATTTAATGTCGACAAACGTGCCTATCCGGTGATAATACGTACGTTTACATCAGATATAAAAGTATAAAATTTTAATTATATTAAATTATAATTAAATTAATTTAGATTATAATATTATAGTATAAAATTATAACATAATTATATGCTATAATATATAGTGTATATATAATATATATTGCAGAATAAAAAATAGAGTAAATTATTAAATATTCCAATTTAATGTCGATAAACGTGCTTAACCAGTGATAATACGTTTACATCAGACGCAAAATAATTTATACAGGGTAGGCCATTTTAATCTTTCCACTAAAATTTCTCAAAATCCAAAAATTTAAGACAAAAATGTTTCAGATAAAAGTTGTATGGTTTCAAGGGGGACATGAGATGGTGTCATTGATTTGACCTTGAATAGCCATTTGAAGGTTACGTGAAGGTCAACTTCAATTTCTTAAATGGAATACTATATTTTTTCTTGCATACTTTTGTAGCTGACTTCGAGATCTTTCCAAAACACTACAATAAAATATTTTTTCATGAAGTATTTTTCGAGTTATTAAGGCTGCAAATTTGCAGTATTTTGACATAAAATACAAAATATCTTGGGAAATATTCATTTTTCGATTATCATACCTTAATACTTTTATGCACAGAATAATGAGACGAATCAATTGGTGTAAAGAAAACACATAGTTGTCTTAAAGAAAAATTATCTAACTGATTATTGCAATTTTCATATTTTTTTTTAAAGGTAACTATGTGTTTTCTTTACATCAACTGATTTATCTCATTATTCTGTGCATAAAAGTATTAAGGTATGATAATCGAAAAATGAATATTTCCCAAGATATTTTGTATTTTATGTCAAAATACTGCAAATTTGCAGCCTTAATAACTCGAAAAATACTTCATGAAAAAATATTTTATTGTAGTGTTTTGGAAAGATCTCGAAGTCAGCTACAAAAGTATGCAAGAAAAAATATAGTGTTCCATTTAAGAAATTGAAGTTGACCTTCACGTAACCTTCAAATGGCTATTCAAGGTCAAATCAATGACACCATCTCATGTCCCCCTTGAAACCATACAACTTTTATCTGAAACATTTTTGTCTTAAATTTTTGGATTTTGAGAAATTTTAGTGGAAAGATTAAAATGGCCTACCCTGTATATTATAATATATGTATATATATTTTTAAAAAAGTAAAAAAAGAGAAACTTATTAAATATTCTAATTTGATTTTTATTTAAAAAATTTATTAGAAAGAAAATTACTTATGTCATTGTATTATATTAGTGTTTAGTTATTATTATATTTTTTGATTATTTACTAGTTATGTTAAACATGCTACACTCGTTCACTGAATATCATCCTCATTGCTATCGTCTCGTTTCACGTACTGCGGATTTTCTTGGCCTTTTACGCACTGTTCTGTGATATGAACAGCTATTATATCACTTTCTGGTATTTCAAACATAGGCTCTAAAAGTAACGTTTCTATTATTCCTCGCAAACCTCGAGCACTTATTTTTCTTTCCATTGCCTGAGAGGCGATTGTATTTAATGCATTGATGTCGAACGTCAGTTTTACCTATGCGCATAAAAACATATAATTTATAATTACTAATCTGTAATTTAAAGATAAGTTTAATTGGACAAGTGAGCTTATTCAAATGTACCTTCTCTTTTGAAAATAACTCCTGATATTGACAAATAATAGAATTCTGCGGTTCAGTGAGAATTTTTACTAGCATATCCTTGTCAAGGGTGTGAAAAGGCACGAGTATGGGAAATCTACCAATAAATTCAGGTATCATACCAAAATCGATGAGATCTTTCGGCTCGACCTGTTTCAATGTATCCTTATTGTCTTCCTCAGTCAAAAGTGACATATTGGTGATATCGATCAAAGTCTCTACGTTCTCGGTCGTAGATAAAACTTCAGACTTTGAATACTTTTTTGATTTATTGCGTTGCGCGATTAGCTTGTCCAATCCGTCATAAGCGCCTGATGCAATAAAAAGAATATTCGTCGTGTCCATTTCTATCGTTTCCTTGCCATAGTCACTTTTCATTAGTGGCACACTCATGATTGTTCCCTCTACCATCTTCAGCAATTCCTGCTGTACACCTTGACCGGCCACATCCCGGTGTTTTCCATTCATAGTTCTGAGCTTGTCGACCTCATCTAAGAAGACAATACCTGTTTCAGCACGTTTTACTTGATGATCAGCACGCTGTAAAAGCTTATTTAGGACACTCGGAACATCCTCGCCACAATAGCCCGATTGCGTAAGGGTGGTACAATCGCAGATGACAAACGGAACGTCTAAATACTGTGCTATCATCTGCACGAGTAACGTTTTACCACAGCCTGTAGGACCAAGCAACATTATGTTGCTCTTTTCCAATTTTAGATACTGCTTGCTGTCATCTAATGTAGCTGATCCATGTGCAGATTGATTTATATGCCTTGTCTTCTGTTCCACTGTTGGATTGACTAATTTATACTGCTTATTTAGAGATAAATAATGTACAATAATAGCATGATGTAACACAATAATTTTCTTTGTTTATCAGAGAGCACAATAAATTGTGGAAGTATTACAGTTTTAGATCAACAAATTGTTTTATCAATCATTTTTTTTTATAAGAAATTGTTAGTAAATTGTACTTTTTTAATTATCTGGATTCTTTCATCTTGGTTTGTTAAATTTTTTCAATTTTACAAAAATACAATAAATTCTGAATATAAAATACAAATTTCTAAATATAAATTTGATAATACTGATAAACATATAAACACTTCATAATATAATATAGTATTACTGTTTACATGACTTAAAATCTTTAAAGGAACAATTTGTTTCCTGCATGCTGATTACTTACTATTTCCAGTATACAGATTATAGCTGGTTTGTATTTTCAACTTTGGTTCTGGCAAATTATGGTAAATTCGTTTGTAGTGATTATAAATAGCAACACTTAGCACTTTCTTAGCATATCCTTGACCCACAACATATCTGTTCAGATATTCAAATATCTGAAAAAATATCATTTTACATTATTGTGAAATATTTCTTCTCATCCAATTAAAGCATGTATTTAAAATGTTTAAAATTTTTGTTTGTAAAATATCTGCATAATTCTCAATTAAAATAAACATTACTAATTTACCTTTTTTGGAGATGAAAGTGGTTTTCTAGACTTATTATCTTCCTGTAAACATATATACTTAATTATATTTGTTACATACAAACACTTTGTAGCATAATTTGATTCTAATAATAAAATTTACAGGTGACAAAACTGTGTCAATCATATCAATGAACTACAATTTTATAGTATTTTTTGTTAATTCTATTAAAAATAATTCATCTAACAACAATAATAATAATGCAAAATGTTACCATGATTTTATATTCTGTATCACAGAACGTCAAGACTGGAAATATTCTTTTAAATGCACTTTCTTATACATAAAAATATATTGTATATATATTGAAATGTTCCTTATACAAATATAAGGGTTTATATAAGGTTTTATCTTAAAAAAGTAACTCAGGCAAGTAAAAAAAAAAATATATATATAATACTATTCTAATTTGTTATACACATTCATGTTGAAGATACGTTTTTGGTCTTCTTTGTTTTTATTAACTTCTAAAACAAATAAAGTCTATAAGCTCGGCGCATCTCCTTCAACCGTTTTAATTTTTTACGACTACATATACATACTACATAAATGAAAATCCGAAGAGAGAAAATGAAAAAGGGACGTCCCCGAAAAAAGTGCTTATCAAATGCACCGATTGGCTGTTGACTAAAGAATTTCTAGGGTCCCATCAAAATTCTGGAAATTTTTTATCCAATGATCACCCTCGATATTTGTCGTGTAAATGCAATCTCGCCTTAAATAATGCGTGGGGTGGGGGAAAAATCACAATGGTCGCCACCGAACCGAATTACGACACAGATTAATAGACAGATCGCCAAAGGTCTGGATGAAGGAGAGACCAGCATTTCTCACTGATTTCAGCGCCATATCGTAGTAGTAGTCAATGCAGTAACTATTAATACGTTCCCAAGATAAGAGCGTCTCATGCTCATGAACTCGTCCGGCGGCATGTACGAGATTTATCTTTTCGTAGCGTTCGCGTATTTCGGAAAGGACAGAATTTTATGATGTTATAAATAAATAAATAAATAAAATATTAACCTGACCTATTATAATTATTTTTTAATAAATGTTTCATTATTATTATCATCTAAGTCTAAGTCGTTTAATTAATTTTTAGTTTTTTAATAATTAATTTAATTTATTCTAATCATTTTAATATGTGAAAAATACTAATACGTATACGTTTTATAATGAATTAATATATTTCGAGAGTCGAATTATATATTTTTAATAATATAAAAGTGTTCAAAAATTATATTTGACTTTTAATTTTAATTATTTTAGCAAAGAGTTCCGAAATCTCTTACACACATAATAGAGATTTTGTTCATCCATATAATTCGCAATTAAGTATATATGTTAATTATTAATTTTAATAAAATACAAAATTAAAATTAAAGGTCAAATATAATTTTTGAACATAAATATATTTAATTCGTTATAAAACGTATACCCGCGTGATAGTATTTTTCTCGTACAAAAATAACTAGAACAAATTAAATTACTCATAAAAAAATTAAAAAATAATTAAATAATTTATATTATATATGATAATAATAAAACATTTTATAAAAAAAACAGATTCAATAAATATAAGTATATATATAACATGTACTTATATTTATTGAATCTGTTTTTTAATAAAATGTTTTATAAGCTTAGAAAACTTGACTTTGACGTAACTAGCAAATTTTATTTAATTATTTCACGACGGTTTGACGTAATAAAATGTTTTATTATTATTATATAAAATATAAGTTTAAATTCTTTAATTAATTTTTAATCTTTTATGATTAATTTAATTTACTCTAATTATTTTTGTACGAGAAAAATACTATCATGGGTATACGTTTTATAATTAATTTAATATATTTGTGTTTAAAAATTATATTTGACCTTTAATTTTAATTTTTATTTTATTAAAATTAATAATTAACATATATACTTAATTGCGAATTATATGGATGAAAAAAATCCCCATTATGTGTGTAAGAGATTTCGGAACTCTTTGCTATAAAATAATTAAAATTAAAAGTCAAATATAATTTTTGAACACTTTTATATTATTAAGAATATATAATTCGGTTCCCGAAATATATTAATTCATTATAAAACGTATACGTGATATTATTTTTCTCATATAAAAATGACTAGAATAAATTAAATTAATTATTAAAAAACTAAAAAGTAATTAAACGACTTAGACTTAGATGATAATAATAATGAAACATTTTATTAAAAAAAGATTCAATAACTAGTAGGTCAGGTTATAATTTTTTATTTATTTATTTATAACATTATGAGCTATTAAGCTCATCATCTCGTTCGCTCTCTGTCTTGCTTTCATTCGGCAAGTCACAAACGATATATGATACTCGTATGTTCCTACTTCAACTCTCGAGAATCTGAAACAAACGAAACTCGTGTCCAATATACAGGGTGTCCGGTAACTAACAGACCAATGATTACAAATGGATTCTTTGGTCAATTTGGGAACGATTTTTCCTCAGCGAAAATGTCGAAAAAGGTCATCATTTTTTACAACTTTCCAATCTTTGTCATTATGTATCTTTATAACTAAGCCTTAAATTAAAATTTTATTATAGTAAACTCTACCTGAAATTAACTGAAGAATGTAATTATGTTAGACTTTTAACTCCAAAACGTTTAGTTTTCAAAAAACCTATTTTTTTAATCGCTTATAACTCGAAAATTATTGACTTCTCAACATTTTTGCTAAGGAAAAATCGTCTCCAAATTGGCCAGAGAATCCGCCCTTAATCATTGGTCCGTTAGTTACCGGACACCTTGTATATATTATATAAAAGTGTATAGCACGTCAGAAGCTTGTGAGCTTACAGCGATAAGTAAAAACAATTGCGTATTTATTTCATTGCGTTTATCTGTTTAAACGCGCGCTTTAATTTTTCCAACGTTTTTGCCTGTTTATATTTTAAAGGTCCTCTCTTCTAAAAATCTTGTTTTAAAGATCCTCTCCGCGAGCAAAATTCGAAAACATAAATTATTTAATATTTTTACTTTATTATTTGTAAATCCTCGGTAATTTCAAAATTTTTCTATTTAAAAATTATTAATTTTCTATTGCCAATTAATTTTATCACAGACTTTACTCTTACTCCCATTGCACTTTCGTTTGCGGTTTTCAGTATACGATTTTTTATCGTAGTTACTGAAAATTATTATTGTGAATTATACTTGTGCAGTGATTTGAAGAATTTACAATTTCGTTGAAATTGTTGATTTTTCAAAAAAATTACGAGATTCGCGGAAATTGCGTGCTTTCTTGGCATTTTCCGTTCGCGGCAGGCGGTTTATTTTTATTGTTGCAAGTGTTTTTGTTTTTTTTTATTAAAATAGATAATAATAATGTGAAATAAATCACGATATTTGACAGATGTGCATATATATAGAAATTGTAATAATAATAATATTATATCATAAAATTGTAAATTGTTTCAATTTTTTATAGACTGCGATAAAAGATTTTACATTTGGATAAGAAACTGCGGTAAGTAAAAATATAAAATTCTTGAAAACGTAAAAATATTTGATAACGTAAAAAGGTGAACTTTGAAAAATAAGGAACTTAAAAATTGCACTAATAAATGGGCTATATATATGTGAGCCGTGCGCGGATGTAAGGTGTGTTATATCGAAATTTAATTAATAGAATTGAGAATTAATCCCAATTTTAAGTCTTACAAATGTCCAAGCTAATTTTTTGTACCTCGTGTACATTTTTGAAAGTTATATCGAAAAATTAAATTTCAATATGCGTCTTACATCTCACATTTCGCATACGGCTCACATATAGCCTATTTATCTCTTATACTTTATTTCAACCCTTATAGAAATTTATTACTAGTAACGCCAATTTATCACTTATTTCGAGTAATTAATCACTTTTATTTCGAATACTTAAATTACTGTATATTATAGTATTTTAAATACTCAAAATAAGTGATTAATTGGCGTAGTGATAAATTTCTACAAGAGAATAAGGAGCCTTTAAATTCTTAATGTAAAAAATTTCAAGTAATTTTCTTTAATAAAATTTAATTAAAAAATTTAATTAAAAAATTTTTGAACACTGTGTTATATCACATTTAAAATCGTGATTATTTCAATAAAAAAACATTTTATGTGTAAAAAATATATTTTTTATATTTAATAAATTTTATATATATATGCATATATGTAAAATATTCTCTCTCTCTCTCTCTCTCTCTCACACACACACACACACACACACACACACACACACACACGGGGGCCAAATCTCTCAAATTGGTCTCATGATCAATTAGCCTGGATTCGCACCAGGGGCAAAGTCTGTTGGTAATGTCAAACGAATTTAGCCTGGACTTGCACCAGGGGCAAAGTCTTTTGGTCGAGTCTACGAAATTTAGCACGGACTCGAACCAGGGGCAAAGTCTTTTGGTTCAAGTCTACGAATTTAGCACGGACTCGAACCAGGGGCAAAGTGTGTCGGTAAGGGGCAAAGTCTATCGCACGAAGATGGCGGTCTCTTCTTTAGGCAGGCCTTTGGCGATCTGTCTATTAATCTGTGATTACGATCAGCTGTTTGCGAACTCCGGGATGCGAAACGGGTAGGGAACATCATTTGCAAATGTTCCGTAAACCGAATTCGTCGTCGACTCGTTCTCTGTAGAAGGAATGGCGGGTTTGGAGGGCTACGAAAGCGTATATCGAGGTCGGTCCGCTAGATCATGGGAGATGGCAACCTCGACGCCGTATCCCCAAAAGTATCACGGTCGAGAGGTTATCCATCCATTGGATATACCTGTTATGCATCCTCTGGCAGAAGACAATCCGCCAGCCGTTGACGATGGTGAGTTATTTTTGTTACATATTGATTGTCGAGGAAGTTCGAATATTTTTTCGCTTATTAATAATTGCATATTTCTAACTGAAAATTGTTGAATACATTTCTTTGTTATTTCATTTTGTATCGAAACCATTTTCAGAAACGTCTTTTTTACTGTTCATTTTTCATTGAATAATTTTTACTTTTGAACCATTTGTTTTTACACAAAAAAGGTATTGAATAAGTATTGTTATAGAAATTTTAGAGTAAAACGAGTTAATTTGCAATTAATTTATTTGATAAACTTATCTATTTTTCAGACACTGTGAGCAAGTATGTTGGACTAGGTTGTGGATTGGCGAGTTTAATAACGGGAAATCTGTTGATACACCCTTTTGTGGTATTGCGAAGACAGTGTCAAGTTAATCCAGGTGCAACAAAGTATCATTTAATGCCCGTAACTTTAGTTCCGGTAATAGTACGTTTACATCAGACTCAAGGTATAAATACACTGTGGAAAGGAATTGGTTCAGTGTTACTTGTGAGAGGCATGACATTGGCAGTCGAGGATTTGATCTCAAAGATCACACCATGGCCAAAGTAAGGTGATCGTTGAATAATAATGTTTGGTATCTTAAAAAGTTTGTAAAAGGATTTCTATAAACTTGTCTTTTTAATATTCGATATTTAATTATAGGAAAATTACTTGCAACAGCTCTTTGAAAGCAATTGGCCAACACATTCTTCTCAAATGGTAATTGTAAGAATATATATACTGATGTAAATTAATCTCAACATATTATAAAAATGTTTCTTTTTATAGTGTCGCCATAGGTATAGTGACGCCTTTCTATTCTGCATCACTTGTGGAGACAGTCCAGTCCGAGATTGCTTCTGAATGTCCTGGAATTCTGGATGTTTTTCGTGATGGTGCAATCCGCTTGCTGGATGTATGTAATAAGGGTAGACTTATTCCTATTTATGCCCTCATGCCACCTACTATAGTTTACGAAGTATCGAAATATCTTTTTACTCTAATTGTGAGAGGAGTTACTAGTCGAGTTATGCATGTCAGGCATAAACATTCGCAAGAGGCAAGAGTATGTATCTAATTGACTTTGTTAAACATTATACTTTTGAATAATATGTATTTACAGGAGCATTATTCTATTTCAGGGCGCGTACAGTAAAGATTTACTAGCTGACAGTGTTGTCCAAGATATAGAAATGCAATCTATCCTAGTCTCGACATGTGCTGCGGACGTCGTCTTTTATCCCCTTGAAACTGTTATTCATCGATTACATCTTCAGGGTACACGCACCATTATTGATAACTTAGACACTGGAAGGAGCGTCACACCATTATTGACCGGATATAGCAGCGCGACCGATTGTTATCGTACGATAATCTCGACTGAAGGACCGCTTGGTTTGTATAAAGGATTCGGTGCTCTTATTTTGCAATTCGCAGTACATTTCATGGTATTGCGCGCGACGAAATGGCTTTTGACAGAATTGGGCACGATGCTGATGCCAAAACCTAAGCCAATAAAGCCACAGAAATCTCCGTACTCATATAATGAAATATGAAAAAAAAAATATATTTATAACACTATTGTAAAATATGTAGGATTATTTATTAATTTGTAACCAAAATAATTTCAATCAGTTTTTAGTGATTCTGATAAGTTACGATTTTCAGTTTTCATAATTTTTTTTTTACATATCGTTAATAATGGAATATTCAAGTGTGAAAATTTATGCAAATTTTCTATTTCTATATCGTACGTTTTACACAAGCACAATGCAAATTAAATAAGAGATTAAATAGATCTATATAAAAAGTTTTGAAATGTTATAAAATTGGAATATGGACAATACTTGTAAATATATAGTCATATTCGTACGACGTCATTATTTTCACCAAATCAATTTCTACATACCATGAAATGTGTAATTATGACTTTATTATAATATTATGTTGATATATATATTTGTTTATGAGGTAAATAAATTAAAATATATTACAATTGCATATTACAGATTTATTACAAATACAGAATTATTCTATATATATTATTAGGATATCAGATCATATGAAATAAAGATTTAGGGAAAAACTCATGTAATTTTCATCACTCTGTGTCATATTTTATACAGTCTATTTTTCTTTCTTTTTTTCTTGCTTTTGTACAGTTAATCAGGAAGTAAATTAACAGCGAGGATGTATATCGCGTACAATGCGATCTATAAACAGATTAGCAATTACATACAAGTCATACATTATTCACATTTTCTTTTTTACTAATCTATAATAATATGTACAATATATTACATAGACACTTTCGTCTATATTATATTTCGACATAAAATTACGTATTTTCTTTTCTCTCGCAATTATATTCTTTTATCATCAGCAAACAAGTGTTTATTTCGTAATTTATTATTAATCAAGTTATAAGATCTTTTTTAAAATTTTTTTAAAACAACGCGCATAATTAGTACCCACTTTGCAAACAATCCTGGCATCATAATATATGAAAATTTATTTTGAGTGGTTGCATCGAAACTCTTTATTATATGGCTCTTTTACAATATTTTCAATCACATTCAATTGATGATAAAATTTTTTATTTCATATTTTCATGTCTTAATAGTCAATTAATTTAAATTATGATCAGAATTTATTTTACTACACTTGATGTGATATTTAGGTTGTCAAATCGATTTTGATGACATTATTTTGTAAATATATTAGTATTATTTTTTTTTATATATTCATATATATATTTGATTGTTAGATTCATGACGAAAATGATTATGCCGTTTTGCTTTCAATGTTATCACCAATAAATGTATACATGATGCAAAGCTTGAGATTGGATGTGGAATGCTAGTATGTGTGCTTTTTCGATCTTTCCTGCAATATGAATGATTAAAAACGATACAAAATATATTTATATCTTTCCATTGCTAAATATAAAAATTAAGTTTACATATTCTCTTTATTCTAGTAATCTTCTATTTATGCGACACTTTTTTCTTTGAAGCAGGCATTTATTATAATGCATGTTCCAAATATAAAGAAAAATGCAAAATTAATAGAATAATAACTTCTGATTTTTAATAGTATTCTCACATCAAATAATATCGGTATTCATGTCTATTTTTACTGTTGTAGTTCCGCAACAGTTATCATTTTAACAGTGATTAATCACTGTTAAAATGATTGCCAATAAATATATATGTAATACATGTATATATATAATACATATATGTAATACATATAAAATTTTTTATATATGTATATACATATGTATATAGTTACTTATAGAAAATATGTACAACTTAATAACAAATATAATGTCCAAAATCGATAGAAATTTAGGAGAAAAACTTATATGCACAGAACTAAACTTGAAGTAAATTATACAGGACAGTTTGAAAGACTGCGTATATGCGTTGTTTTGATCATAATAATATAAACTACATATTTTTTATAAAATAAAATTAAAATAGAGTAATTTATCAAATGTCTCTTCTAACTCAAAATCTATTGGGAAAAAATAGCTATACCAAAGTGTCGCATTCTTTAATTATTTGTTAATTATGTACATGCTGCGCTCGCTGAATATCATCCTCATTGCTATCGTCTCGTTTCACGTACTGCGGATTTTCTTGGCCTTTTACGCACTGTTCTGTGATATGAACAGACACTATATCACTTCCCGGTACTTCAAACATGGGGTCCAAAAGTAATAACTCCATTATTGCTCTTAAACCTCGCGCACCCGTTTTTCTTTCCATTGCTAAAGAGGCAATTGCATTTAGTGCGTCCATGTCAAATGTCAATTCCACCTGTGGATATAAAAGTTAAATGTAATTTATTAATCTGTAATTTGAAAGTAGATTTAATAAGGCTTCTGGCTCCTCACCGACCATGTTGGTATTGTGACTTTAGAGGCAAGAAAAAACAAGTCAAAAATTCTTAAAATGCCATTTCGAAATAAAAAAATATTTCGATGAAACAGCACTTTAGATAGCTTTAATACTCTTAAAATACCTCGAAAACTTCTTTTCCCATTATAATAAATAGCTGTAAAATAACTGTAATATAAGACATGAAGCCTAGTCTGTCTGTTCTTTACACTACTGCAGCAAGGTTTCAGAAGCCTTAATTGGAGTGAGATTATTCTAATGTACCTTGTCCATTGAGAACAACATCTGAAACTGAGGAACGATGGCATTCTTCGGTTCTGTGAGAATTCTCGCTAGCATATCTCTGTCGAGGGTGTGAAAAGGTACGAGTACGGGAAATCTACCGACAAACTCGGGTATCATCCCGAAATCGATGAGATCTCTCGCCTCGACCTGTTGCAACAACATGTCCTTCTCTTTATTATCTCTCTCGGTGGAAGGTGACATATTCGCAACATCAGCCAAAGTCGCCGCTCTCCTGCCCAGGCTCTCGGCCGCGGGCGTCGCGCCAAATCCGAGATATTTTTCCGATTTGCGTCGCGCGATCAGCCTGTCCAAGCCGCTGTAAGCGCCCGACGCGACGAATAGAATATTCGTTGTATCCACTTGTAACATCTCTCCGCGCAATTTCCTCGAGCTATTCCTCTCCGGAACGTTCACGATCGTTCCCTCCAACATCTTCAGCATTCCCTGCTGCACACCTTCACCGCCCACGTCTCGCAACTGATGGATTCCGGGTATAGCACCGATCTTGTCGACCTCGTCCAAAAAGACTATGCCCATTTGAGCACGATCTACTACATAATTGGCATCCTGAAGAAGCTTAGCTATGACGCTCTCAATGTCCTCGCCAACGTAGCCCGCTTGCGTAAGAGTGGTACAATCACAGATGGCGAACGGAACGTCCAGGCATTGCGCTATTGTCTGCGCGAGTAACGTTTTACCAGATCCTGTAGGACCGAGCAACAATATATTGCTCTTTTCCAATTTCAACTGATGCTGCTTGCTATCTAATATAGCCGATCCGGGTGCAGATTGACTGCTCGTCTTTTGCTCGCCTCCCGGATTGATTGCGTGTTGAAATCCAACTCCCGGAAATGGATTTCCAATACCTGATATATGCAGCAAATCTAAAGAGACAAAAGTTATAATAATTATATGTAGCGTAATGTAGTGTAATATATTTTTTCTTAATCAGGGAGCATAACAAATTGTGAGAGAATTATTGTTACTTCAGATCACAACTTGTTTTACGAATCTTACTTTATAGGCTGCATAGTTCATTTTGGACGCTTTCAGCGTTATAAGCATCTTTTGTCTTCGTTTGATTCGATGTGCAACAAAGACAGAAGATGCTTACAGCGCTGAAAGTGTCAAAGCAAACGCAGCCATAAGAAATTATTTGTCAATTAAACTAATTTTTTAAATTACCTCAATTTCACAACAATATTTGTAACAATGTATTCTGATTAAAATACAAATTTCATAATACTGGCACATTTATAACATCGGGACACCGTTATTTACGTGGCTTAGGACCTCTATGAGTGAAGGGATGATTTGTTTCCTGCGTGCTGATCGGGTTGATGTTGGTTTGCGTCTGCGAGGTTTGTACTGGCAGATTGTTGTAAATTCGCTTGTAGTGATTGTAAACGGCGACACTCAGCACTTTCTTAGCATATTCCTGGCCCACAACGTGTTTGTTCAGATATTCAAATATCTGAAAATATCATTTTGCGCTGCTGCAAAATATTGTTTTTCATCCAGCTAAAGCAGATGTATTTAAAATATGCCAACTGCTTTTGCTTTGTTTTTAAAATATCTGCATAATAAATTAAATAACCAGAATTACACTCAATTACCTTCTTCGGAGGTGGAGGTGGTTTCCTATAGAATCCTTGCTTACCATCTTCCGGTCTTAGCGCCTCTTTCAAACTCCTTTTTGAGTCAATCTCTGAGAGTACAACAAAGAAGTGATGGCACTTTTCGCACTTGACAAATCTTGTAGATGCTGTTATTTGCCAAAATAATTTAATACTGTATTAGAACATGTAATATTAGTATGAGAAAGTATAGAAACTTCGATATAAATTGACTATCTTATCTTTCTCATGTATCATCGCAGCAACCTTTTACTTACATACAAATGTCTCAACATGCGTGCAAGGATCTCCACACTTTGGACAGGTAAGCGTGTTCTTCTTTCCACCACCTGTGCCATTACCAGTGGCTCCACTGGATGTGGTATCTTTAGAAGGTGGCGTAGGCTCGGTTGGAGCTTTCGCTAAGCTGCCGCTAATTGTCAAAGCTCTACTGGCCACAAAAATTCTCACAATTTTATGTACTGTGCAACAGATAGAATCTCACATTAGGTTTTGTTACCTTGGTGATCAATAGTATTTACCATCAATATATCTCCAATGGAGCACAAGATACACTATATATATAGAAACTATTTACAAACTGATACTCACCATTATTGTTGACATGGTTAGATGACACCAGACGACCCGCACTAATCAAGCAACAACGTACGGTACTCATGATCGGTGAATTTCAGTGCAAAACGAAAGACAGAGATATGATGCCTCGACTGTCTTGGGTTCCGGACACGTGAATCTAAAATCAGGGAGGTATTGCGTCTCGGCTGAGTCGATATATATCAGAGGCTGATGGCTGCGTCCGCGTTTGCGAAATAACACATCGACTGACGATGATATATGTAGCTGTTGTTTACTACGTGTCAAAATACGAGATCTTCGCGCAACATTATTTTTTATTTCCTGTCGATCGGCCCTCGTCGTTGCCCTCAAACGTTATTTTCTCGCGTTCGATTCATGCTCGACGACACTTTTGCGAGACGATCGAAAAATTCGTGAAAGTCCAAAGAAAGATGAGGCAGCCAAAATCTCGCAACGTCGCCAGAGATTGGCAAATCCTACAAGGACGCGCGATAACGCGGGTTAAAAAAATGTTGAAAAATATCGGTGGTGCGAGGAGAGAGAAGAGAGAGAGAAAGAGAGAGAATATAGATATAAAAAAAAATGCATCCCTCACAATCTGCCAATAAATCTATTCACACTCGCCTGCATCTTACCTAAATTTTTAATATAAAACCCGACGAAAACGTCAATGCCACGGATGGCACACAATCACACACAACACAGCTAAAAAAACTCAAAATATATACATACATATAAGAGCACAGGAATTTTTTTCGACCGAATCGCGCCCTCTCGCGCGATTTCGCCGACTTGCTTCACGTCATTCGTTCGCGGGGCTTGTGAATGCGGATCGCGCGCAAATGTAACTTAGACCTGTCACATCTGTCATCTGTCATGTCATTACATATATATATATATATATATATATGTTTAAACTTTGTATATCAGGGGGTCGATTGTGTAATTTTTTCTAAAGTAAAAATGTGAAAAGTGAAAAATTTCTTCCAATCACACATCGATTTTATTTTAAAATCAATGCGTGATTGGTGGAAATTTTTCACTTTTCACGTTTTCACTTTAGAAAAAGTTACACAATCGACCCCCAGATTGATTTCTGATATTAAAATTATATATATATATATATATATATATATATATATATATATATATATATTATATACATTTATATATATTATTTACTTTTAAAAAAAGATTTTTTTATTTAAATAATTGTGTCCCTCATCTCATATATATCTTCAATTCAGTCACGTTATTTCTTTTTCTTCTGTATATATATTCTCATTGAATTATTCTGCAACGAAACTATGCAATGTTTTTCAATCATATATTTTTTTATTATTCAGTTTACGAAGTGCATAATTGTAAACATATGACGCAAATATTGTTATTTATTATGTGCAAAGTTTAAAATACAAAATAAGAAAAGGATATATAAGAATTAAAATATAATTTTATTAATTTTTTACATGAAAAAAAAATAATTTTTCTGTATATTATTTCTTAACACACATGCATACATATAATTAATTTTAAAATTAATAATTTAAAAAAATTATATATTTTCCATTAATATATCAGTTCTTTTTATTATAGTAAAAAATCATGTCGATACATGTGTTGGAGAAAAAGTATTGCACCTCCCCCTCTTCTTCTCCCTCACGCGATCGTCTACTAATATATATATATATATAATGAATCAAGGTCTCTGTCATACAATTGTGCAAATATTTCGTGTTATCTCTGCTGGGTGGAACATATATATATGCATTCAGCGTTCAACGGATTATCGTGATATTTTTTTCATTCATGATATGAATCACATCATTTTTTATATGCAAAAGAGAATCTCTCTTTAACATGTAACTCTTTGCTTGGGAGGTAAATTCAAATCGACTTGTGCATATAACGATTCTCCAAAATTTTCAGTTGAATGATAATGTGTATGAATCTGTGTATGTATATATATATATATATGATGTGTGATATGCGCACGATGGCGATATAAAATACACGGGAATCGTATCGTGGAAAGAGCTGTGGATGATATTGTGTTATCGTAACCTGCATCATATAATTGCGATTTATAATTAACAGCAACGTACGCTTCTTTCACTTGTTATCGATAAAAGATTTTATATAAATTTTATACAAAAATTAGGAATAGATAACGAGAGATGGAGGGAGATAAAATATTGCGAATGCATGCACAACGTTGGTGAGAGAGTGATTTTTGTTTTACATATACTTCTATGTGTTATATCGCATATTCGTGAATATCAGTGATTGCATAATATTGTCCTAATCTCAAATGATATACAAATTTATTACATATTATGTTACAGAATATTCGAAAAAACAGGCCTCTGTTGGAAGCATTTTGCCATTTATGTGAGAAAAGTTATGTTAATTAATACATTGAACCAACAAATTTAATTATATCAAGAACAATCTACTTGTACATTTAATTTGACATACCATCAATATTATGGCTCTCCAACAGTCAGTAAATACAGGCAATAGCAATTTGGATACCAAGATCATTGAATGGCTGCAATGGAATAAGGTATGATATTTAATTTTTAATAAATTTGATAAACTCGTTACTAACGCTAATGAATTCCTTGAATTATATAAATTTTTGTACTTGATATTATAGGATCCGAAGGCAAAAGATGAGATAAATGAATACTTAAATAATGGGCAAATTAAAATATTATCAAAATTATTCCTCAAAAGACTTGAGTTTGGAACTGCAGGTCTTAGAGGTCGTATGGGACCTGGTTATAGTCAAATGAATGATTTAGTCATTGTGCAGACCGGTCAAGGATTAATGAAATATTTAATAGATACCATATTTGATGTATCATTGAAAGGTGTCGTTATAGGATACGATGGGCGTTATAATAGTAAAAGGTGAGCTATTTATATATTTATATAATATGTTTGTATTAAAATTTAACTTATGTATTGGAAATTAATTTAATTTTCAGATTTGCTGAATTAACTACTGCAATTTTTATAGCCAATGGTATTAAAGTTTATTTGTTTTCCGAAATATGTCCTACACCATTTATACCTTATGCCATATTGAGATACAAATGTGCAGCTGGGATCATGGTGACTGCGTCTCATAATCCAAAGGATGACAATGGATATAAAGTCTATTGGCAAAATGGAGCACAGATTATTTCACCTCATGATAAAAAAATTCAAAATTACATTCTTAATAATCTTGAACCACTTGAATCCTCGTGGAATGTGAGTGAAATCTATAATAGCTCTTACTACAAAGATCCAAGAGAAGATATTATGCGATTTTATTATCGAGATCTAAAGGATACAGTCCTATATCCTGAAGTTAACAGAAATACCACATTGAAATTTACGTACACTGCTATGCATGGTGTTGGATATGAATATATGACTGCTGCATTTGAGGCAGCAAACTTGAAGGTACTATTCTCATATATTAAAAATTCTTCAGATATTATTTAGACATTTCTTCTTATTTAGCTACTCTATCTTATTTATTTTCAGCCATTTATAACTGTAGAGGAACAGAAATTGCCAGATCCAGAATTTTCAACAGTGAAATTTCCGAATCCAGAAGAAGGAAAAAGTGCTCTCGATCTTAGTATAAAATTAGCAAATAAAAGCGATTCGTCTGTAATACTCGCTAATGATCCAGATGCAGACAGACTTGCATGTGCAACGAAAACAAAAAGGTTTATAAATTCAATACAAATATAATAAAACAAAATAAATATAATAAATTCTTGTATTAAATAACAGCATAATAAACAGCAAAATATACATTTGATGATTTTTATAGTGGAGAATGGCATGTCTTCTCTGGAAATGAACTTGGTGCATTATTGGGTTGGTGGATGATGCACACTTATCAAGTTTTACACCCTGATGTTGATATGAATGATGCATATATGTTAGCATCAACTGTTTCCAGCAAAATTCTAGCTTCAATGGCCAAAAAAGAAGGTTTTAATTTTGAGGTTTGTGCATTTGATGTGTCTATGTGTGTACAATACAAAAGAAAATATCGATTTGTCTTAAATCTAATGAATATATTTCATTTTCTTGACAGGAAACTTTAACAGGTTTCAAATGGATGGGTAACAAAGCTATTGAGTTAATGAAGAAAAATAAGGATATCTTATTTGCGTATGAAGAAGCTATAGGTTTTATGTGTGGTTCCAAGGTCCTAGATAAAGATGGAATTAGCGCTGGAGTACGCGTAGCTGAACTAGCAGCTTATCTTGAAACAATAAAGTTAACTTTACCAGATAAATTGCAGGAAATATATCAAGAGTATGTTAGACATTTATCAAAACGTGAAATATATAAATATATTTTAATATACTATAATAAATTATAATTCTATATGTAGGTATGGTCATCATATCAGTGACAATTCTTATTGGATATGTTACGATTCGGACGTTATTAAAGCGATATTTGAACGGCTGAGGAATTTTTCTAGCAAACTAGATACAGTAAGTATTATTTTAATTTTTATAGTTTTTATATTTTTAATGAAATTTTTTCTGTTAACTTAAATGTGTAGAAAGAGTGTTAATTTAATTTTTTGTTATAAAATTTTTCTATATCACTTATTTTAATCAGATTTATATGGGAAATAATGATATTTTTATTTATACGAATGAGAGCTTTTGTTATAACAAGATTTAATGAATAATTTTATATTGCATATATGTCATATATAATTTATTTTACATTTGCAAAATGTTCATAATTACATTTAATTGGAAAATATAAATATTTTATAACACACACACACATATATGTATATATGTATTATAAAATTTATATATATATATATATATATATATATATATATACATATATGTATATATATATATATATACATATATATATATAATTTTTATAATATATAATAATATATTATATTACATATATAATATTATATATATAATACACATTATACATTATAATATTATATAATAAACATGTAAATATATTTAATACGTATATTAATATATAATATATAATATTACATGTACATACAAAAAAATGATTTTTTATACTAATTTTTTTTAATTATATTAGTAAACATTTCATAATATTTCTATTGCTATGCACGTAATGAGTACTGTTTAATATGCAGCTATATCTATGTGTGTTCTAATTTGCATCTAATGGTATATGGTTACAAGGTCGACAAGTATATATGTGATGCATGAGATAGCATATAAACTGGCTAACCACTTTAAAAATGATAAAGTCCAAGCGCCGGCCGAGGTATTTGTGCATGTCTCATTCTAGGTGACAGTTGCGTCGCTTTATTGCTACTTTCGTGATAAAATATCAACAAACATAAAATGTAAACATGTAAGAATGTATGTGTATACGTGACGTGACATGTAGAATTACAGTAGTGATACTTTAAAAAGCGTCTTTTGTTGGGATTATTTTATCTGTTGCACGCATAATTGTTAATGGATTTGTGCTGCAATGACATGTAATGTCTAATAACAATACAACAAACAAAATTGTTTCTAAGAAGATTTGGTAAAAATTATTTTTTTTCTTTATTTTTTTATAATGTTTACTAAGATGACGAAAAGTAATGTCTGCAATAAGTATGTGAATATGGCTGTTGTAACATTGACACTTTTACCTTCCGTGCTTCTTGCTGTTTTATTTGTTCCGCTAGTACAATCATTATATCATCTCACACCGTTTCTTATGGAAGAAACAGAAATAAATGAAGTGTAAGTAAGCATATATCATAATAATACTTTTCTCATGTAAATTATTTTGGATTATTATATTAATCTTAAGGTATTAACTGTTTGTGAATCTTATTTTATTATATTCATGCATCTTAAATAAACTTTCATCATAATGATAAGAAATTATATAAAAACTTGTTTTGACGATTTATGTTTTGCTTAACACTATGGTGTGCATTTAAATTCTTAACTTTCCTGTTTTTCATGAAGCTTCTAATGTAATTTTTTTAATTGTAGTATCCAACCGGAATTCTGGGAGGAAAATATATAATAACCAGTGTTCGGGATTTGACAACAGGATATGACAGTACAAAACCTGATAATAAAGCAGTTCTTCCTGTATCAAAATCTAGCCAAATGATTACATTTACATTTAAAAATGGATTAGTCACCACTTTAAGAACTAGCGGTACAGAGCCTAAAATAAAATATTACAATGAATTATGTGGATCACCTGGAGAGTAAGTTATTTTTTTTTACATATACTTTGTGAATATTTTGTAAAAGAATTCATTTTTACTTATATCTTTTATTTAATGCTAATGATATATTTTAATATATTTTAACATGCAGCATATATAGAATATCTCAAAACCACTGAATATCTTTTTAATAGCAGAGTTTCTAATTATTTTAGATTTAATTATTTTATATTTTTGAGTAAAAATATTTTTAAAAAATTATTTTTTGTAAATTTCCAATTCTTTTAATGACATATCTTTATAAGCTTTAAATTAAAATTCTATTAAAGTAAACTTCATCTACACAATTGAGTAAAAAAATATAGTTTTGTTAAATCATTCAATATCACAAAATGTAATTTGTAAAAAGTTATTTTTAATTGCTTATAATTTGTAAATTAATGATCTCAACATTTCTAGTCAGGAAAGATCATATCTAAATTAGCTAAAGAATGTGCTATTATAGCAATATCTGATAGTTTTGGGATTTTGTATATTGAAAATTGTCATTTATATCTAAAATTTATATTGTTTCGTTGTATTTAATATACAAAATTTTATTTTAGAGACTTAACTAAACTGAAGAGTACACTCAAGGAGATGGTATCAGCTATTGTAATAGAATTTCTTCAACCAGAAATTAATGGACTTATTGCGCGTGAAGAATAAATTATGATAATAACTGTTTGTACTATGTACGTATTATATAAAAGATTCATCTAACTGTTTAAAATTCAATGTCAAAATAGGTCATGTAACTTATTTTATGAATACTATGCTGTAAAATTGCTTCAAATATTCAACATATTAGTATTATATATTATTATATATATAGATTGTTATAAGTTTATAACACATTTGCTATGCGTTAATTTAATTTTGTTGAGGAAGTTTTACCGTAATTTTCAAAATGGCTGTGTATTATTTTATATTATTGTTAAAATTGTTGAAGGAAAATTGGCCAAGTTTCATTCATGTATTTTTTTTCTACTTTTAAAATTAGCATATCAATTTTAAAACAATACTGTAAAGTATAAAAACTTTTTTTAATTTTTCAATTGAAAAAAATCAGTTTATTAAATAAAAATAAAAGTGAATAAATAATTCAATGATTATAATTTTAATAATGCATACGGAATCCAATTATTGATGATTTTAATAAGTAATAAACTCCTTTTTATTATTAAGATTTTACATACATATAAGTAATGGTAATTTTTTCCTTCACAATTGCTCCACTATTCATAGAATAATGAAAATGATAGTTATTAGAGAATATTATATCAAAATTCTTTTCTAAAGTAACTAACTAATAATGTATTGTACATTGACAATAATGTGAAGTATTACTTTATTATTGTACAAGAATGAAAAAAATTATACTGAAAATAATTCACAATTTATTGCAAAATGTCTTGTACTCCTTATACATTCATTTTCTTATTATAATTCTTATTATAATTTTTATAGAAAAGATTTAAACTTTTTATGCTTTCTGATAAAATTTTGATAAAAAAGGACAAAATTATATGCAGCAGGAAGATTTTATGTGACGCTACCTTTCGTTAGATGGCAGTCGACCATTCAATCGGAGCCCTACAAATTTCATCGAGGGTGCGTTCGGAAATTTTCCGTAGAGTAGAACAGCGATCCTTCATCCTGATTGCTCAACGAAGCGCTACGTCGCCCTACGGAGAATATTTTCGAACGCACCCCATTACTGCTTTCCGGTGCGAGCAAGCATATGTATATGTATGTATATATTCGTGCAGTATTTGTTATCACAGTTCCTGCGAATTGTCTGTCATTTTAAGTGTCGATCATTTCGGTCGAATTATTTCCGGCCGGAAAGTGTCTTCGCAGTCGAAATAATCAAGATATCACTCGTATCGCCGGCCATCGCCCGCACATCCTTTCGCTTTTATATACAAGAAGCGTGCCCGATACTCCACCCACGAGAGAGCGAAATCGCAGTTATTCGCGGAATAATGCATACGCAGCTGTCAAGACGTTTGTAAGACGTCGCGAGGAGCCGATATTTCACGAGGGCGTGTGCAATTCGTTTGAACATGCCTTCGCGACGGAATCACGAGCAGAAAGTGACTGGTTCGAACTCGGAGTTTACACATCTATTCCAGAGACTTCAGGTATGCGCGTGTGTTGTGGCACTCGCTAAGGTCAAACGAGGCCTCTCGCTCTCTCTCGAGGCGAAATTTATATATATTTTAAATATATCTATTTTTCGTATATCTCTGTAAACGATGAATGGCTATTTTTGTATGATTAATAATGAAGGATTATGTTAATTTGACATTTACAGTTTTGCAGATAATATATACATTCAGGTATATATATAACAATTTACAATTTAAATCTGTCTGGAAATGATACGAGCTGATCTATAAATTGACGAGTAATATCTTTTCGCACTTGGTGCAAATTATTTTGTTGTAATTCTACATCTTTCCTTTCGGTGAATTTATTATGCTATCATCATGACCACAATACCACTGACCGATAAGCAGCTTCATCAACTGGTGAGTTTAGAGATTATGATACATACATATATATGTGTATATATATTATATATTGAGGATACAACAATTATCTTATATCCTGAATAAATTGAAAGTCGTGTAGATTATGATATATTGAGAGTCTCCATTTAAAAACCATATAAGAAAATCTTGCTTTAAATGATTAATGTTAAAATTTGTATGATTTATAGATTATGATATATTGAGAGTCCCCATTTAAAAACCATATAAGAAAATTTTGCTTTAAATGATTAATGTTAAAATTTGTATGATTTATATAAAAATTTATTTCCTTAAATTATTAAATTGCTATAAATGAATATTTATTGTTTGTAGAGTATCAGTATTGGGAAAGCTGTAAATGCGACGGAAACCCCTGTGAAAGAGAAACATGTGCGAAGTATCCTTTTTTATACTTTAGAAAAGCTGTGAAAATTGAGAAAAAGCAATAACTCTTTTCATTAATCGAATAAAAATTGTAACTATGACAGAGTAATAGCAGAATCATAAATAATTTAATTATTTTTCAAAACACTATTTCCATTAATTTTATTTTGGTTCCAATGTAATATTATAATACTTCCTTTGTTTTTCAAACTTTATATTTAAAAAATTAAGATTAAAACAAATTAATTAATTAATTGATAAAAATGTAATTTTGAAAATATTAAAAGTAGAAGAACAGATATATAAATGATTATTAGGAATTTTTTAATATATAAATTTGAAAATAATGTAGTTTTACAAATGTAAAAAAATTAAAAAAAAAAAAAAAAAATATATATATATATATATATATAAATGCAAATACGAAATTATATAATTTAATAGAAAAATAACACTAGAAAAAAATAATTTTAGAAAAACTATGTAATCAAAAATTATTTATTATTAAGAATATATGAATCTAAGGGAAAGAAAAGAAAGTTCCTTATAAATAAATAGGTGCAATTATTGGTACATATCGAGAAAAGAGCGGCTCCATCTTTTGGACTTATATGCTGAGGCAACCATTACAGGAGAATCAAATTGTTGCATGGAAATTTTGTCATGTTCTCCATAAAGTGTTACGTGAGGGACATCCTCGGGTTATCGTCGATTCTCAGCGGTATCGTGGCAAGTTAGAGGATATTGGGAAGTTATGGCAACATCTTAGGGAGGGCTATGGTCGTCTCATACAATTGTACACAAGACTATTAATCACTAAATTAGATTATCATAAACGAAATCCGCGCTTACCTGGAAATTTGCAAGTAACGCCGGAGGAACTAGAGGCGATTGGAGAAAATGATATTAATATATAGTGAGTTACATTTTTCTTACATCTTACTTCAATACTATGATATATCTCCATATATACTTACATATGCATGTCTAATTAATTTTTTTAGCTTCCAGATGTCTGTCGAGATGTTTGATTACATGGATGACATCTTGAATTTGCAGCATGCAGGTATGCTGAGAATAGACTGCATCAAAGAACATCACAACAAATACATAGGATTTTAGTTTTTGATGGAATTGGCTTTTTTTATGTTGATGTCCTGCTGAAAGAATGAAATAGCCTTAAAGCTAAATATTAGATAGTTACTGAGTTACAGTCAGTCAAACAATTCATAAAGCTCAAGTTTTTTATATTTGACTAACTGTAAATTAGTAACTGTCTATTATTTAGCTTTGAGCCTATTATATTTTTTATTCAGCAGGTGATAAGCTGCTACCATATGAAAAAAACAGCTGATCTTACAAAGATTAATTTGATATGATTAGTATGGGATTTTTGAACTTATATAAAATCCTAAATTAAATTGAATCTCAGTAAAATCAGCTGATTTTCACTTGTATGATTGTATAATTTGTAACTTATTTTACTGAACAAAAAATGTAATAGGCAAAGCTACATCTTTTGTTCAACAAGTCATAAGCTACAACATATAAAAAAAACAACCACTTTTGAAAGCCAAAATCCTATGTATTTGGTGTGGGGCCTTTTGCATACAATTATTTTTCATATTTTGAGATATAAATCTTTCATGCACAGCACATTAACGAGCTCTTTATCAACATTATAGTCTTTGGTTCACTGGATTTGTCACGATCCAATTCGATGACACCCTGCGGACAGTGTCGACTTGCACCTTTGATCCCGTGCATCCAGGATGCTTCGCAGCTATACGACTGTTGTGTGAAAATCTTGTTCAAGCTTCACGGCGCCCTCCCGGCGGACACGTTGACCGGACATCGCGATAGATTTTCGAAGCAGTTCCACGAATTGAAGAGCTTTTACAATACCATTAAACATATGCAGTATTTTAAACATTTAATAGCGATTCCGTCGTTACCCGAGGTAATGTCTCTTTCAATTATCGTTGTTGATACGATTAGCAGAGACGAGAATTTGTCGTATCATGCAATATGTGACGTATATGAAAATTTTTTGCACTTGATCATTTCAGAATCCACCCAACTTTTTGATACAAGCCGAACTGAGATCGTACGTCACGCCGATAGTAGTACTTCCACCCGAAGAATCCATAGACAGTGAGACTGCCATAGACAATCTTATTGATACGTCTGATACGGGATCATTCACTGATCAATTGGATTCTACGAATACAAGAAATGGCTCAATATCACCTGACGCTCTTGCAGAAAGGTATAGAATTTACACGTCTATCTTCCTCTTATCTATCTTTGCTTTTTTTCTTTTTCTATACATAAATTGGAAAGCGGATAAGATAGCTCATATATGTATATCATGATATACATATAGACAATATTTTTTTAAATATAAATTGAATAAAATGTCATATCTAAGATAAAATATTTTTTAAAAGATAAATTAGAGATATAAATAATGTAGCGTAAATATATAAGATAACAATTTTTAACATAAACTTGATAACAAAACTCAATTTGATAGTATAAAAGAACTCCTTTTCTTCCTAGAGTCTATAAATCCAAACTTAATACTCGCAGTGAATATTAGATTTGCATGTGGTTTGTAACAATATTAAGATGAGAATACAAAAACAAAAATATCAATTATTTGAAATAACTTGAAATGTATTTAGCAGTGGAAATATATGAGTCAATCCTTTATATGCTCTTTGGCTTTTTTTCTTTTTTACATGTAATTTTTCAAAATATTTTTTGTGATCTTTAATAAATATATATATATATATATATATATATATATTTTATAAGAAATGTTTTAGAATTATATAAGAGTTTTATTTTATCAGAAATTATAATGTATTTTGTAATCAATAATTCAAAAATTTTTTACATATAAATGTATATTCTTTTAGAGACAGTCTTATTGATCATCTGTATCAAGTAAATGGTCGCCAAAGGCAAGAAATAAATCGATTCTTAATAGAGCATCAACAAATAATTGCAGATCTTAGAAGTCGTGTTCTAGAACTGGAATCGATACTTTCTTCTAAGGTAAATTCACTACACACTATATTTAATAATTGTACTCTGTTTCATCAATTTATATTGTACAAACATTTTAGAGCAATGAAATCGTGACAGAGAAACAAACTTGTCAGAAACTAATGAAGGAAAACGTGACTATATTAGAAAGATTTCAAGAAATAGAAGGTTAGTAAAATTTTAATTTGTAATTTTTTATGATTATTGTTGTTTACTTGTTAGAAATATTATATAGTATTCTATATATAATTAATAATGATTTTGTATTAAACTTTTCAAGGAAAAAATGAAGTCATAGAGGAAAAATTCAAAAAGCTAAAAGATGTTTATTCGAAATTGAGAGAGGAACATATTAGTTTGATTCGAAAGGTGAGTACTTGATAATGACGACGATAAAATCATCTATCTTTATTTATGACATGCATTGTTATGCATAAAGAAAGCCGATTTGGACAAAGAATTGGGAGGATTAAAGATATCACAAGAGCAATCCGAACGTAGAACGTTGAAGGCTGAAGAAAGACTGCAGGAATTACTTCAAGGACAAGGATCAGCAGAGCATGAAGCACAGAAATAACGCAGGCACGCAAAGATTTAGAGGATGTTAGAAAAAGATTGGATGCCGTTCAAACCGAAAATTTGGTAAGATTTTTAATTCATCTTTCAATTTGTAATTATTCTATTATACTGACGAGAGAATTTATTACACTGTTATAGGCATTAATGGCAAAAATAGATTTTATTACATCCGAGAAGACAGCCTTGGAAGGAGATCTTCATGACTTGTTGGTGCAGAAAGAGGAGCTGGATTTGCGAATAGTAAATTTAGAAACCGATGCCGAACGATCCTGCAATCAAGTAAAAACGGATGCCAATACGGCTTTATTTGATTTATTATGTGAGTATTATAATTAATTATATATCGAATCTACTCGATTATTTTATTAAAATCAGTCATATGAGATTACAAAGAAAATTATATTCACATGTTATATTATAGTGAACGCTATATCGGAAGCAGAATCTATTTTACATCATGCGATGCATGCAATTGATAATCCAGCCATATCGGCACTGACCTGTACGCCAGACTATCTTGGAAGTTTATTGGAGCCGACGGAGAAATCACTGAATGATTTAGAGGAGGCATATAATAATTATTTATCCGATACAACAAAGGGAAAAACGCTGATTCGCACCGCTATACACAGCGCATACTTCCTGGCTCTCTATTTGATATATGCAAAATCCACTTCGAATACATCGACGGATATCGGTTTAGCCGATCGTAAGTTTTTCGTGATAACACACTAGTAATTTATATAAACATTGAGAACGTGTAAAAAATTATAAATAATTTTAAAAATTTAACTGTTGATTTAACTTAATTTAATCTTAACTTAAATTTTAACCGAGTTAGTTTTTTGTTCATGCAACTTTTAACGTAAATAAATTAATTTTATAAGTCTTTAACTTTAATTTAACTTAGTTTTAAAAAATAATTAATTTACCGAACCCTGATGTATAAATGTGTAGTTCATCTAAAATAAATTATATTTGTACAGGATTTGCCGACGAGTGCAAACAATTAGGTTCGCAAGGTTTAATTATATTAAGTTATTTAAAGAAAAATCCTCCATGACCATGGTACAAATTGCGAGTGTCAAAAGTCAATTACAAAAGATTTCGTCTCTCATAAATACATTATCGACTACTCAAAACAATGTGGAAGTTATTGGAAACTTGGTGGAAAATGAGTTACAGAGTATGGATAAAGCTATAGAAGAGGCGGTTTCAAGAATACAGGTGTTTATTATAAGCGTATTTATATGCGAGTAAAGCAAGACGTGCGCGGAAAGAGACAAATAATTTACTTTTAACAGGAAGAGTGATTTACTTTTACGCAATTTACAGGATATGTTGGACAAATCACGCGCGGCAGACTCTGGTCTAAAATTAAAAGTGAACGAACAGATCTTGGATTCTTGCACGGAACTGATGAAATATATAAGGAAATTGGTGCAAAGGTCTCGCTTGTTGCAGAAAGAAATTGTGGAACAGGGAAAGTATGGAAAATGTATTTTAATGTTTACTTATTATATGGCTGCGTTTATATTATTAGATAATAATACATTCTATTGTCATTGAAAAAAATTACGATGGGAAATATTATGGGGATACTTCAGGGCACCGCTTCAGCTACCGAGTTTTACAAACGCAATCATCAGTGGTCAGAAGGTCTTATTTCAGCAGCGAAAGCGATTGCTATGGGCGCAAACTTTTTGCTGTAAGCCTTTTTAATTGCCTAGTAATTTCTTTTTTTATATATATATTATTACATTAAAATCAGAATTGGGTAAGTTAATTATTTTTTTAAACTAAGTTAAGTTAAAAGTTAATGGCTTATAAAATTAATTTAGTTATGTTAAAAGTTGCATGAACAAAAAGTAGCTCGGTTAAATTGAATTAAGATTAAATTAATTAACTTAAGTTAATTTTTAAAAATATTTATATTAAATTTAAAATATCATGATTTTAAAAGTAATAAGTTAAAAATTAATTTTTTAACTTTTTAACTAATAGCTAGTCATTATCCAACCTTGATTAAAATATATTTATTTATGTATTGCTACAGGGAAGCAGCAGACAAAGTTGTATTGGGCAATGGTAAATTTGAACAATTGGTTGTTGCTTCGCAAGGAATCGCAGCATCAACTGCGCAACTTGTAGTTGCTAGCAGAGTCAAAGCTGACAGAAACAGTAACAATTTAACTGAACTCTCCAAGGCTTCGAGAGAAGTGACTCAGGCTACGGCAAATGTTGTTGCGACTGCTAAGAGTTGTAATCATCTTGTCGAAGAAAATGGTATTCAATTTGTAAATTTTAACTGTGTTCCATCTATCATACAACATTGCCTAATATTTTATTTGCAATTTATGTAGAAGATCTAGATATGTCTAGTCTCAGCTTACATCAGGCCAAAAGACTGGAAATGGAGGCACAAGTTCGAATCTTGGAGTTGGAACAGGCTCTGGAAACTGAAAGACTACGTTTAGCTGCTCTACGACGTTATCATTATCAACTCGACGGTGACAACGAGGCGTAAGCAAGCAATGGATTTGAGTTTAGATTAAGAATATTCAGCGAATATTCACGAAAATTTTGTAGATAAAGGATTATAGCGATCATGTAAATTAGTTTACTAAACTAACTAATGTCATGAAGAAAATTGTTTCTTCATCATTAGAAACGAAACTTATTATTCATTTAGTTTCAGCATTTATATATCATGCATGTTATTTGTTTCGAAGATCAACAATAATTTTCTATCATGTAGAAATTGATTGTGTGAATGTACTTTATTGAATGATGCTCAAATACATTTATATTTACTGGCTACATATCGAAATAATTTATATTGTGTCATTTTTAATCTAAAATTTGATATAAAATTTTTTCACGTTATTTCTCATCGAATTGTATCGTCGAGCATTTATGAGATAAAGTACATCTTGCAAAAGGAATAATGTAACGAGCAATGAAATTCAAAATGTCCAAGTTTTTTATTACATTTGGAGTAATTTTATATGGAAATCGTGTTTTTTCCTAAAAAAAAAGTATATATACTTAAGGAGGATTGTCAAGTAGATAATATTTAAAAATTTAAATTTATATAAAGATTATTAACTTTAATTAGTGCATAAAACGCTCTTCTGGTCTCTCTTAAGTAGATGATTTGTATTTCTTGTAATGATTAATTTAGGCTTTAGTAAAGCTCAAATTTTTTATTTTTCATCATCGCCGAGAGATTCCAAAATGCCGAACGTATCTAAAATGTACATCTCGGCATATATATAAAAACTTGACATAAAATTCCTCTAACAAGTCTTACCAAAGTTATTTTATGAACACAGTTCTCAATAAACCATCGAGAATCATCTGTGTTGTTAATTATATATATATATATATTTTTGTTATCTTATAAAGTTGTCCTCTTTCCGTATATCTTTCGAGATATCGTATATACATATATAATATATGTATATAATATGTCATTGTTTTTTCATCAGTATACACATTATAGCTATTTATAGTTTCCTACTATATCGAAGATATTTTTTTATAGCAAAATTATTAATATTAAGTATATATAATAATTTAATACAAATAATAATAATATCAGAGTTGGATAAGTTAATGAT